TTCTCTGGAGTTGGGACTTCATGCATTGCCCACTTGTCTCCGGGCCGCGGCAAGATGTCTTCGTCCTGCTCATCACCCTGAGGCTCCTGCATGTCACTTCCGGTTCCAGGCTCCATGCCCACGAATCTCTGATTCCTGGGTGCATCCGGCCTGAACTTGCACTGGTGGATGTCACTCACTAACTTCGTCAGGATCTGCAATCCGGCGGCTAGGGCATCCCTACTGTAAATCAGAACTGTCTTGTCTTTGGGTTTGACGTGGTACCCCATCAGCCTCCTGATCTTCTCTGCAACCATGGCTTTGGCCATCCACGACAAAGCCGTGGCCTTGAGAGAGCGGGCCCCCACGTTGCTGAGTTGACCAGGGTGGAGCGAGTACACTTCTTCAAGATCTCACAAAGCCACACCGACGCCTCAGAGGTTGAGAGCTTCGCTGCACTCCACCCTCCACCAGGCACTGGTGTCGGAAGAAATGGGCGCCCTGGCATTGCTCGAAGTCCTGACACGTTCCTGAGCTTCAGCAACATAGCAGCCCAAGCCACACCTGTCACGCCCAGCTCAGGGGCTACCACTGGCAGAACCCTGCACGCCCTGCCGGCAATGGAGTCTGTCTTGTGGGTGGATGTTCCACCTTCGAAATACCCACCTTCCACAACCGGCTCGTGCTGGATTCCCTGGCTGTCTCCGAAGCGCAGCCTACCATAGATGCACACCAAACAATGTCCTGCGAAAATGCGATCCTGTACAGGGAAGGTGTCCTCACACACTACACGTTCCAGGATGTTCACTTGGTGCACTGTCAGGGCATCTCGCTGCTTCAACACCCTCTTCGTCAGGAAGCTTCTGTGCGCCGAGCCAGTGATTCTCGTGCTCTGCAAAACCTCGTCCACTCCAAGCAACTGGATCGTGCCCTTGCAGAATGCCAAGGCGCTCCTGAAGCTGCTTGCCCGCGTCGCCGGTGCACCATCTCGTCTGAGTTGGTCTACGTAGTTGTAGCACACTTCTTCATCCAGCGGGAACGGGCGCAACCCTTTTGCTCTGGCCCACCTGACATACAGCAGCATGGCACTCAACCTCACCTGGAGCGTTCCGTTCTTCTTCTTGGCGAAGATGTCGTCCAGGACTTCTTCACCACTATTCTCTATCATCTCCCTCCCCCTCGAGTGCTTTCCTGCTTCAGCAATCACCACCATCCAACCTGCAAGGACTTTGTCACATTCTTCTGCCTGGGCTCGAGCCCAAGGAAGCCTCACACTGTCTTTGGTGGTGTGGCTAGTCTTCAACTTGACTTCCTCCTTCTGCTGCACCTCAACGTCGACCTCAATGTCCATGGCTTTTGCACTGCGTCCACCTTCTTGCAAACACTCGAGGGGGAGGACACCAGCCTTCCCAGTCAGCACCACTCCTGCAAATCCTTTCTCCCAGGGCATCCTCAAGGTGTCTGGGATATACTGCTTCAGCTTCTGGCTTTCGCTGCCGATCATGTTGTACTCGTCCTTGTCAACTTCCATCGCCATCGAGGACTCACCTGCCGAGGATGTCACTGTGCTCTGCTTCTCTACTAGCTCCTTGAGTTTCATCAAGGGGCTCACCACTTGGTTGTCATCCTCTTGCAGCTCCGTGGGACTAAGTTTCTCTGTTGGAGTTTCGGGCTGGAAATCTTCCACCCTCATAGACTCCAGCTCACGAACTCTAGTGGCAAGGTCCGTCAGACTCTCCTCGCCCTCGCCCTCGTCATCGTCCATCGTGTCCTCGATGACCACCACTGGCCCCCCCGCCACTTCTCCCCACTCCATCGGGGCGCCATTCATCTCCATGGCACTTCAAAAGTGTGTGGGGGGGGGCCACTTGAAGCCAAAATGGCCACCGATGCACAACCACTTCCTCATACTTACGTACGTTGTTGCTGCATTCCTAAAAGACACTATTACTTCGTAACAGTCAGCATATATATACATATAGCTATTACTTTAAACTCCAGAAGTCTGATGTCTCAGCCCACTTTATGCCTGGCCTTTCCGGGAATCAAGTGCGAACTTGAACGGCCTTGGCCATGCATGCAGTCTGTCATGACATGCGCAAACACAACGTGATGTTGCATCTTGGAACATAATTAGGTGTAGCTACTTCTCCTCCCAACTCAAACAGCACGCACAAGCCCGGAAATCAGCAAAAGCCAATCAAGCTACTCATGTGACTTGACTAAACCCGGCATTAGCGTATGAGCCAAACAGGCACAAGTAGTTTGAAGCAGAGTCACGTTGAAATGATTGTTCGTGATTTGGTGGAGGAGCTGAATTGTCACGACCTCCAGGAGCCTCAGAAGGAACTGAAGACTTCTTTGTGGCTGAAGGATTTTAAAAATATCAATGACTACTATTGGGTTGCTTCTTCTCGCACCTACCGATAATGGTCAACATTCGTCATGAACCTTTCCACACTATCCTTAACCCCCGAACATCTTGATCGTTCCTGACGTGCCGCGCCTCTTCGAGAACACCCAGACGTGCCGAGCCTCCCGAGGCTGCCAGGCAGTCAGGCAGTGATGGAAGAAGGAAAGCACAGATCAATTGCATGCATGGATGGCATATGATTCATATGACTAGCAGTGTGATATAGTTATTCTTTCTAAAAAGCATTATTGTGAAGTTTACTGGCAGCGACGTTCAAGACGTAAAGCAAACCTGGCATGGAGCAGGGAAAGCATTCTTTCAACGAACTACTGTAAGTTGTAAGTTGTTTGTAGGTGTCTCTCTCCTTGATGTTCTTACATCGTTTGAGGATACAAAATTACAAAATGGTACAAGCGCCTTTGCCGTAGCCCTTGATCCCTTCTACAGAAGAATGCCGGGCCTAGGATGCTGTACCATGCTACTAGTACAGAGTGACCAGAAGAAAAGCAAATATAAACAAAACACAGGAACCAAGCTAGATGGTTGGAGGCCATTGGTATTAGGTTGGAGGCCATCGCTACTAGGTTGGAGGCCTTTGCTACTAGGTTGCTAATCAAACAATACAGGAACCAAGCTAATCAAGCATGATGCCACAGGATCCCTCAGCATGCCCTTGAGCATCTTTAGGGCAGATTCTGATCGTCCATTTTGGACGGAGAGAGAGCGAGCGGTAGTTGGGCGCTGGGCTGGACATCACCCCAGTGACGGCCCAAGAAACTGGAGTCCAAGCAACTCTTGCACCCGGGGTAATCGGCGCACTTGGGGATGACCTGACGTTCTGTCGGCAGGGTGTGAGTCCCAAATGAATTTGCAGGAAGCATGCTGAAACTTGTGCACCTTTCAACCGCGATGCAGAGGAACAGGTCACCAAAAGCATTTGTTAAGGGCGCCCCACCTATAGCGCACTTCTGCATGCGCCTCTTGAGGTGGTGTTCTGGGAGGTCCTGCATGCCACACAAGGCTTCCAACTGTCAAAGCAGGCAGCACTCAGTGAAGTTAAAAAAGCGGAACCAAATCTCTAGGGGCTAGAAGCCACTAGGGGCTCCTGGCATCGCTACTTAGGAGCAAAGACGCTACTAGGGGCTCCTGGCCTTATTAGGAGGAATGTTTGCTACTAGGAACCAATTCAAGCGCAAGCGATTCTTCAAGTAACCTATTACTCGGAAGGTGGGAGCTTCCTTGAAGAACCAGCCCTTCAAGCGACTACCTGGCTACCTATTGCCCCCTACTCTGGTTAGGACCGGGGGAGGCGTCAGAGACCCGTTCGCGGGAATGCTTGATTGTCTCATTCTTGGCATCGGTTTCCAAAGGTGACGTTACAGTATATAGGCCCTGTTAGGCCTGCGCTAGATCCTCTAGGTGGTCAATGTCTGTCGGCTTTCGTGTGGATTTTGATGGCAGCAGCCGATTATACATATTTAGAGAGACATGGCCAGGTATGGCCAGATATAAGTGCATGGGGCAGGAGGATTGTCTCATTCCTTTAGTAACTTAGTAACTTTAGTATCTTTAGTCAACTTTGCTCGGTTCATGTCGATTCCAAAGGTGACGTTTTAGGCTCCGTTAGGCCTGCTCTAGGTCCTAGGGTGGTCGATGTTGCAAATATTTACGGGCCTCAGCGGCCTATAGTGTTCCCTTGTGTTCCTCTCTGACAGCTTTCCCATCGATTCCCACTGCCTCGATTCTGCATCGGTGGCGACACCGCACGCGTCGAAGGTGGACACGATGCCTTTGGCATCTGCACTGCACACCTGATCTTCAGCCATTCACAGGCCAAAATGAGTGCAATGCATCACAATCCCCCCTAAAGAAGTCTGGCTTCCAACTTTCCACGGACCAGCCTGGGCATGAGATGTGGCACTCCCGCAGAAGAAGCGACGAAGGATGGAGGCCTCCCAAACAACATGGCACCTTCGCACGACCAACCAAGTCCCTGCATGGTGGCTCATATCCAAACCGGATGAAATGCCCCAGCCTGGGCGCCCCTTGAGAGGGCCTCATTTGTGCAACACCCCACCAGACGGTGGAGGCTTTCGGATGCTACCCGAAGATTTTTGAGAAATGAGCTGCAATTATATAGAAATGGCATCGTGCAGTCAAACAACCTTGCATCAGGGCCACAGATGCAGGGCAGGAACACGGACTGAAGTGCTACACTGCTACACTCAGTCCATGCCAAAAACATGTAGATATATATAGTTGTGGACTTCAGTTTTCCCCATTTTGCTTTGCATGAAGACACTGGGGCCTCGATGTTATGTGCTTCAGGACGTGAGTGAGAGCGTGTTTTCAACGCAAATTCTAATGTAGATTGCAGTCAAGTTGAGCAATCTATACAGGAATGCACTTGTTACTAGATGTGACTAGTAGCTTCTTGCTAGTAGTAGTAATGCACTTGTTACTAGTAATTAGCGTCCTTGCTGCTAGTGGCGGTGCACCTTGTTACTAGTAACTTCTAGCTACTAGATTCTATGCTATGCTTGCTCCATGGTGCAACTCTGTTCTGAATCTTGTAGCTCGGGTCCTGAAGAGGCCCGTCTCCTGCGATGACAGCACAATGATCTGTGAGGATTTGTGAGGCAGCTGGACCAAGTCGCTCACCTTTTTGGACGCGCTGTCATAGCTTTCTTTCTGTCATTTAGTCAGTTCTCCGTCATCCTGAACTGCTTCTGCCGGGCATTTGCCAGTCAACAGGCAACACGCAGAGGGCCATTCGCTATTGCTGGTTGGATCGGCATTCCAGGTGGTCTTGTGCGCGGATCATGCCATCAAAAGACTTTCCAAGTCCTCCAAACACCAGGTCCATGTCCAAGTATATATCCAGTGCACACCCACAAAGGATACTAATAACGTACCCCAACACTCGTGTGCATCTTCACCCAAAATGCTTCAAGGCGTTCAGGTCGAGAACGTCGAAAGGCGGGCCTCATGCCAATGCACTCCGGACGGCTTGCGTGACCTCTTCAGCCTGTGCCAAGGGCAAGGAATAGGCAGAAGCATCTTCCAGCCTTGTTTGCAGATCGAACGTCGACAGCCTCATCGACTAGCACAACCACAAAATGGTCAACAATGACTTGTAACTTGAGGCAAGGGTCATTTTGAAGTGGTGTAGGGTGCCAGAGCTGACAAAGGCATCTCTCAATGCCAGTGGCTGCGGATTCCTGTCATCACTGCCACACAGGAGCACACTGCTCGGCAAGGTCAACGCAGAGATCGCTGGGTGAAGGTCTAGGGTCCATAACCTTGGCAGCCCAAGGTAGTAGTGGTGAAAGTGTATGCATCACCGACCTTTGTATAGCTTCACAAGGCCAAACAAAAGCAGGCAGGCGCCAAGACCAGGTACGGGTGTTGCAGGTGCCAAACCGTTCGGAACCCCTCCAACAAATAAACGAATGAGACTTATGAAAAAATAACGCAAATCACATGAATGTGTAAAAGTTATCAACGAATATGATGAAAACAAGATCATGTCCTCTCCGCCTAGGGACATGTCGCTCAGATTCCGTAGGGCCCAGTCGCTATGGGCTCTCCGTTTTGCCTCCAGGACGACGCGCACCTCGGCGTAAGAGGCCTTGGACCCCAGGCGTTTTGACACTGAAGCCTCGCCGGAGAACTCAAAATAGGCGAACAGCTCCTCCGTGCGCTTCAAACAACAATGCTGGCATATGTTCTTGTGCGCACCTATCTCAAAATAGAAGCTTCAGATGCATCTGACTGGTGGCCTACCGAATCTTATACACATACCAGTCAACGTCAGCCAGCCCTGTCCGGCAGCCGCAGAGCAGCGAAGCCAGTGGCCATGTGGCGCAGCGTTTCTCGGCCGAAAAGGGAATTCTCTCGGCCAATCACCTGCTGCAAGTTGCCCGCAGTGCACGCCACGCAAACGAAGCCAAAAGGCAGCCTGGCTGGTGAATCTGTTGGTCAACTCTTCCATGGTTTTAATGTGTTTTATTGTTGCCCTGGAGTCTCGGAAATCCAGGACTACTGTAACGGTGTTACATGTCAAAGTTGGAAGCAAGATCAATTGGTCATATCAGCCGTGAACCTGTTTGAGAAATCAAATCCGTTGCCTTTACTTTAGAACATGTATCGTGGAGCGCCACTTGCGTTGGAAAGAGGTCTTTCGGGGGGCGAGCGTTCAGGTCTGTTGAAAATTTGACCTGAGGGCCTGAGGGTGGGCCCAAACACAGGAGTCAAGTCGGACAGGCTCTCGCCTGATGCACATAAAGATGTTGATAACCTTGAAGTTAAACCACCCTAAAAGATTGCCTCACAAATGTGTTGTTTCACTGTTTGTAATTTGCAAAGCTTGTTGTAGATTTTCCCCTGGGGTGGGACACGGAAAAGGTGGCCGGTAGTTCACAACAAGTGTGTGGCTTGTTCCTTTATTCGACCCTCATGTGGCCCATAAATGTTAACCCGGGTTGGGGCCGCAGCAGGACTTGCCACGTCTGTTAAAACCCTTACCGTCCCTTCACCCTGGAAACCATGGAGCGCATAGGAAACCAAAGAAACACACAAAAACCTTGATATAAAAAAAATAGAGAGCAGGAACTACGGATAACATGTGCAGCTTTCGTGGCACGGGAGAGGAGTTAGAGGAGGAGGGCGCAACGCCTGCCCCCCATGAGCACAAAGAAAGAGAGACGAAAGTTGGTTTTGAAAAGGGTGAGGGCAATGTGACCCGAACGGACTGCAGCAGCAACAGGATGAGAAGACTCGAGCAATGATGAATGCCGTGATGATGCGCTGTGCAATGATGTGCGTGTACACCACTGTCACGAGCGGATAATTGCCTTTTAGATCCGCTTAGAGGTTCACAGCTTGCTCACAAATGTGAGACGCAATAGTTTGACAGTAGGGGGCGTAGATGACTACTACGCTGGTTTTCTACATGACTTCCGAGAATGGCAAGCGGCTAATTGGAGGCCCTCACGTGTTCCATGTCTTTGTCCTTGTATAATCTTGTGTAATCATCTCGAGTACGTACAACCACGCCTACGACGGTGTCGTCACAACAATGCTCGTCCGACCATGGCTGCTAGGCCGTGGGCTTAGGAGGTTCTGGATTACAACCAATGCTGGTTAAGGCCCAGCGGCACGGGCGGACCACAAATGAGTTTGTAGATTGTATGTATATATATATATATAGATTCTTTATTCGGCCCATGGCACTCCGCGCTCGGCGAGCGACTTGTGACGCTATCTATTCTGGGCACTGGACCGTAGCCATGTAAATTCTGCCGCACTTGCCACATGAGCATCCATCTACGATGCACACGGAGTCTTTGGGAAGACTGGAGTGCCACCAGGTCCCACAGCCGATCCAATCTTGAAGGTTCCATCATTTGTAGCAATGGCGCTCTGTGTGAGGGGGCGCTGCAAAAAGTTGGTCAAATCATCCGGGCCACGGCCAAGCTGACAATAATGGCACAGATGATGCTTAGGCAAAGCTGATGGGTGCACTCGGTCCCCCTCTTTGAGCCCCCCACCTGACCACAATCGAATCAAAACGGAGACTTGAACTGAGACTTTAGCATGCTCGAAGATCACTGCTGGGCATTGACCTTTCTGTATGGCCAGAGCAACGGCCTCAACCGGAAAATGGTAAAGGCAAGGGTGCTTCTTGGCCGCCTCAATTTGAGAAACCAGTATGGCTCTCTGAATGATCCACTGACGCTTGTCCTGTGGCGGCAACTCAGCCTGACCAGTAATGGCGAGTAGGTCCAAATGAGCCTGGTGCGACCAAGTGCCAGGGACACAACGCGCATGCTCATACAGGAAAGTAAGAAGACACGGGCTGGATCCGAAACAGCAGGCTCAACCTCCACACGGACAATGTGGCTCACCAAGAAACCCAATGCTAAAAGCATGAGGGAATTGTCCCAAAATCATCCGTGCCAGTTTGCGCTGCACGAGGTCCACCTTCTGTAGCTCGCTCCTGCTCAATGCCATCAGAACCTTCGCAATGGGTTCGACATACACGGCCCACAACTGACAGAGCAAGGAGATTGGCACCTGTTTGGCCCGAGCCCCACGAAGGAACTGGCCGGTCTTGGAGCGGAGCCGGGACTGCAAGTCAACGAGCAGTCGACCATGAGAGCCTGCCCAATGGAGAATGCCATGCACCATCGGCTCACGATCAAACCCGTGCAAAGCTGCTGTCTTGCACACACCAATATTCAGCCTCATCAGTATGCTGTCATGAGGAAGCCACATTCAAAGCTGCCTGTGCCCTAATTCTGCCCTCTAGCGTTTAAGATTGGAATGGTTCCTTCCTACTCTAACTGTCAAACTGCTACAGTAGCCCTTGGTTGGTCCACCAGTGAGCATCTAAGGTGGTCATTTGACCTTCGACGTCCGCGGACACGAGTGTCAGGCTGAAACGGTTCTTTCTTGCTCCAGATTCTACCTTCGGTTGGCCCACACAAGGGCAAAGGCGGAACCGTTCCTCACTTTGTCCTGAAGTGGCCTTAGATCTGTCCTTTGTCGCGTGGGACCTGCACGGGATTTGTGTGAGTCCGACTTAACCTTCGGATGGTTCCATCCAGCGAGCATCCACCATAAGCATCCCAAAACACCAAAGTAAGAAGGAAACGAAGGGGACGAAGAAGGGGGGCGCCAAAGGACCAAGGGACGAGCGGACTAGGGCACAAAACATGTTTGTTGATAAGTTGATACGAATCATGTTTGATTCTTATCATTTGTTAGATGCCTATCCCAGGGGCCTCCAACAACTTCCTTTGCTCTAGACGAGACGGAGCCTTCAAAAATGACCAAACTGGCAGAAACAACCACCTCCTCCTCCTCCTCCTCCTCCTCCTCCCCCTCTTCGATTGTAACAGTCTCCGGTCGTTTGCACGCCGGGACTACATGATCATCATCAAATCCACATGCGCTGCAAGCTCGGGATGAAACTGCAAGCATGCTGCAGGGAAGTAATTGGAAACAACCTCGTTACATCGTAGCCAACACCACAAGGCCTTCTCGTGGCGTCCTTCCGGTATTCCACCAAGTACTGCAATGCAAGAAAGCCACCCACGCCATGGCCAACCAGCACACCCTGGAGACAGTCTAGCAGCATTGTGCAACAAGTCTGGTGAAGGTGACCCTGAAGGTGGTTACTTTACCATCACTAGATTCTACAAAGACACAGGCGCATGTCCAATCCCTGCCTCGCTGACTCCGAAGTGATCCATGATGTGCCAAATGTCTGCTGCAAGTGAGGATAGTTCCAAAGATCCCTCGGTCAAGTTGCTCCCGCCGTGCCTGTCAGGAACTCTTTTGCCCGACTCAGGTTGGCTGCATCATTGGGAATGGTGGGATTACAGAACCATCTGCAGAGTTCATCAGCTTCGAGGTGCATCACAACTACGGTGGCTGCGGCTATCCAAGAATGCGGCTTAACCAATTGTCAAACACACACCGACTTCATCAACAACATACCACCACGCTTCCCATGCGATGCGGTCATGCCCCCCCCCCCCCGCCCTGGCAGGTCGGCAGCTATGATTTGATGGCCATCCTCCCTCAGCAACTCCCAAACTGGGGACCAGGTCTCCAGTCTCATCTTCAGGTCATGGATCAAAACCTCCGTTTTTGCTGAAAAAGCTCTTTCCACCTACCTCTCTCTCGCTCGCTCTCGGAGGGGACTGGTGTTCCTAGTGGTAAGAATGCACCCAGTAGCAATGCCAGGAGCCCCTAGTAGCATCCTTGCTCCTAGTAGTAAGGCCAGGAGCCCCTAGTAGCGTCCTTTCTCCTAGTAGTAAGGCCAGGAGCCCCTAGTAGCGTCCTTGCTCCTAGTAGTAAGGCCAGGAGCCCCAGTAGCGTCCTTGCTCCTAGTAGTAAGGCCGGGAGCCCCTAGTAGCTTCCTTGCTCCTAGTAGTAAGGCCAGGAGCCCCTAGTAGCTTCCTTGCTCCTAGTAGTAAGGCCAGGAGCCCCTAGTAGCTTCCTTGCTCCTAGTAGTAAGGCCAGGAGCCCCTAGTAGCGTCCTTGCTCCTAGTAGTAAGGCCAGGAGCCCCTAGTAGCTTCCTTGCTCCTAGTAGTACGGCCAGGAGCCCCTAATAGCTTCTTGTCTCGACACTGAAACATCAAAATAACCTTAAGATTTAAAAACAGTTTCGCCCTTGCCAGTCCAAGCACCACACTCTTGCCCGACCATCCAGGCGGTGTTGACACAGCACTAATCCGGCGAGGATGGCCATTCCTCTCATCTCGAGGGTGGGAGGGCTTCAGATTGTTTCAACACCTTCAACCGCAATCTTCACGGCAAAGTCCATGTGGAATTTAAGAAGTTGATGTCTGTCCCCCACTCACTCACTCTCTCTCTCTCTCTCTCTCCTATCCCTCTCTCTTGGTCGCTGTTTGCCGCCATGTCAGTTTGATGTCCTGCTTTGACCCCTCTCCCAGTTGCCTGTCGACGAAGTCTAGGGCCTGAAGCTGTCCATCCAGCAGTGGCTCAGTAAGATTCTCATAGGACAGCTCCTGGCCGCAAGTCGAAGCGAGTCAAGCATGGGCATAGCCTTACTTGCCTTGGACCGGAGCAATGCAGGGTTCAAACTTGAGCACTTCACTTTCGAACTGCAATCCGAAACCCCTCCTGCTGCGCGTTTGCCAACTTTCGATGTGCCCGCCAGAGATGAATGTAGACAGCAAAGAAAACACCCAACCAGCTCCGCTTCGGGATCATTTCCGGCACCCAATAGTAAAGAGGCTACAATGGGGTAAAGAATGGTAAAAATTGCCCTCCAAGATTGGTGCCTTCAGCTAGCAGCTAGAAAACAACAGTCACGGTCCAAATTTGCATCTACAGTGAGCCAACTTGGGAATCCTGTTCTTGATGTTCGGACACCAATGCTTTTAACGCTTGAGCAGCGCTTGACATGGCTGCAGGAACACCCTTGGGTTGTTGGTACACGTCTGGACCATGCATCAGCCCCGTGCTACAAGAAACATGAGTATCTCCAGTGATATGTACATATTATATATATATTACATAATCTACATGTGTGAGATAGATATACAGTAATATCGGCTTATATACACACTGACACACTGGAGAGGAAATAAGGTACCGCCAGTCCTGAGGTCGAGGCTGAAGGATCATGACATCTACAGTAAATTTGGTCAGCTACTTGGTGAAAATGTTTGGCTTCGGCTAGGACAACCGATCTTTGGCTTTGGTAATTCAAAGATTTCGTTCATTCGCGAAGAATTGTCAACCCAATGACATGATTGACTCTGTCCCATTGTCTAGAAACGACGGCCCCCGGCTTGGGTATTGCGTTGAGAGTGTTGTCGATGTGGATATAGGGAGGGAATGGAGCAGTCTTTCAGAGGGTCCGAGGCACTTTGCTTCTTACAAACCCAGTCGCCCGTTCTGAGCTGGACGGGTGGACAAGCCCTCGAGCCAGTGGCAGCGTGGCAGGATGCAGGACTCTGGAGATACTTCAATCCCACAGCATATCATGGTATTCAATAACACTCTTCCATGAAAGGGCATCTCTCACAATGTTTGGCATCACATCTATATAACATCATCGAACATCCTTTGCGGCTTGTGGCCAGCCTGGCGTTCCCAAGCCTCTAAAACAGCCAGGTAAACAAACACTCGGAACACGTCTAGTACAAGTAGCCTAGGCCTATGCATTTTCATGAGGTTCTAACCTGCCCACCCCACTGCCCACCACCCCAAAAATGCAGCCAAATTAAGAACTCATACGGGTGAAACGCTGTTTTTTTATGTAAAATCGAGAATTGTCCTTAATAAGGCACTACCCGTTTAGCATATAAAAATCACAGGGTTCTTGAAGAAAGAAAAAGGGACATGCCTAAGTAAGGCCTATTAGGGATCGATCTGAAACATTCTCAAGAGCAGTTTAGGCCGTAAGATTTTGCAAATGGGCGTCCTGTGGTCCTTGAAGAGGGAATTAGGGCAATGCCTAATAAGAGCTTATTAGGGATTGACCTGAAGAATGTTTTAGGTGGGGTTGATTCAAGTGAAATGGACATGAGGCCAAAACACGGTTGACTCCCAGATCGACTGGCGAATCGACCTGTTTCTCCGTAAAGTTTTGCAATTTTTGAGGTCAACACATCCCTTTCGATGCGATTTCGTCCAATCGGCATGAATTTTGAAATATGCGCTTATTAGGGATGATCGCGGAAACAACATAAAATTCACAACGGTTTTTATGTTGAAAACAGATAAGGCCAAAATAAGCAAGTTGGGTCAGTTGGCCCCTAATAGTGGCCTAAGTCTGCTGAGTAGGTGTTGAAAATAAGGGTTTCTTAATTGGGCCTGATTAGAGGTCAATTAAGTCTCTAATCCACCCTTAACAAGGGTTTCCCACATTTTGTATTTTTTCACTCTCTGGGGTGGTGGGCAGTGGGGTGGGCAGGTTAGAACCTCATGACATTTCGACTGACTACGCTTGAACAAATACTATACCGCAGCTTGGAGCACAGAACAGGTCTGCGATACTTGGCTTCCCAGACTGTGACTGCACCTCCTGGCAATGCAACGGCATGCTACCCCTGCCAGTTAGGCGTGCTTAACCCGGAGAAACATGATCAACCCAACGGCAAAGGCGGCCTATTGGAACATCTGCTCCCGGGCCATAGGCACCTCAAAGAGAACAAACATATACAAAATCATCGGCTTGGTGGCATTGTCGGCCGAGTATAATTGCATCTCCAGATGATACCGGAGAACAAATGCATCTGTGTCACATGTCTGCTCATGGGCGCTCGCTTCCTGACAACGAATCGAAGAAGACACACGAAATCGACGAAGACTGTGACAAAAGGCCCTGCCTCAAAAGCTGGAAATTGCATGCCGCAGTAATTGCAGGCGAAGACAGTGACCTACCCGATGCGTAAGGGGGGCATGCGGGAAAGGCAATGATCATACTCTATATATATATATATGTGTGTGTGTGTTGATATTGATGTGATATATACAGGATTTATATATATATATATTGTGTGCATGGTATGATGTTTCATGATGGGTGCTCCTCGTCTGTGGCAATTCTTGCGGGGATCTGTGACGGTCTGTGATGTGAGGTTTGGACGCGACGCCGTGCTTGGCATTCTGTGGCATTGCATGTTGTTTTGGTTTAGTTGTGTCGAGCATGCAATGGCAGTTATTTTGTTACCATGTTACCGAATGATGTGAATGCTGGGCATTGAGATGTGTTTTGAATATGTTGAATTGTTATGAGTCTTGAGTCTTCACTGCTGATTTCGCCTTGGTCTGAGCTGCTCCAGGTGATGTGATCTCTAGCTGTGGCACTGCTTTAGCTAAGCAAGCGGTGATCTCACGAGTCAAAAGTAATATGTGTAGTAATGTAGTAGCTTCAGCAAGGGAAAATCACAGAGAGAGAGAGAGAAAGAAAGGCGGGGGAAAGATTGGTTGCTTATGTTAATTGATGTCATGTGAGACAGTGTAGGAGGAGGAGCAGGAACAGTGGGGGGCGTGTCACCCTGGCATACAGAAAGGAAAGTACAGCTTGAGCCTGGATGAGAACCGGAAGGAGATGGAAGGAGTACTTACAGAGAGAGGACTTGGACAGAACGAGTTTTGCTCTCTCTTCGCGCTGCTTCACGACGGAGACTGCCTACACCGTGGCATTCAAAGGCTATAGGCTATATTCCAAATAGTTTTGATTGGATATCCATTAACACACACCAACACAGTCAACAATATATCAGATATATCATAGGATGTTTTTGAAGGCTCAACTAGCTAGCTGGGCAGCCATTTGCCTTAGCGTCTCTCCAACCATACATCTGGAGCTGACACCTGAGCTGGCGCATTTCCTACAGGCAGTTCAAGTAAGATTCCCAAGGATCAGACAGGAAGAGGAGCGCTTGGAGAGTGCCCGTCTGAGAGCAAAAGTTGCATGCTGAAACAGAAACTCGTGGATGCACGGTATCAAATCACCAGTCCTTTAGTTCAATCTCCTTCGGCCTTCGCACTCGCAATATGTTGTCACAAGTTGTTGTCATTTTGAGCACTTCAGGGCTTGGCAATGGCAACGATCGCCCCAAGAAGAGAAATCCTGAATCAGGTGTTGTAAAACTGCTCCCTTGTAAAGTTGCTTAAAGATTCTGAACAATATCTGAATACGCATCCAACGTATTGGCTGGCCAAATCAATCTGAAAGTGACACTACTCTGCACTACAGAACGGTGAAACCTCCGGCACCGGCACCATTCCATCTGGGAGAATCGCCATCGGGGTGCATCTAGCAAGAAGCGGCCAGAGACCTCGACCCCACGACCGTGATTCGACCAGTGGCCGCCAACGAAAACAAGAGAATCCTGTGTTGAAGAATTTGCTGAGGCTTCTCAGGTCCCAGTTGATTCTCCGTGCTGGTGATCGGGTGGTTCCCCGCGTGAAGCCGAGAGGCTGCCACCAAAGAGCCGATGCTGGCCGTTACTAATGACAGAATAAAGTGCTGCCTGCCGAGCAAGAGCTGGAGCATCGAAATGCACTCGACTCTGCCAGCAGGTTCCAATAATTACACCAGCATAGACCCAAATAGCCAGGCAGAACCCCACGACCTGTTGACATGCGACTGGCTGGAACAAGAATGCACGCAGCCTGCACAGCCTGCATACGGCACCTCCACAGCGCGCACAACGCCAGCAGCAGCAACCTGTCTCCACCACGTGCGCAGCCCTCACGGCACCAGCACCAGCACCGGCACCCGACACCCAGCACCGGCACCGGCACCCGGCACCAGCACCAGCAACCTGCCTCCACCACGTGCACAGCCAGCCCACAGCACCAGCACCAGGCACCGGCACCCGGCACCCAGCACCAGCACCGGCACCAGCACCGGCACCCGGCACCCAGCACCAGCAACCTTTCTCCACCACGTGCACAGCCAGCTCACAGCACCAGCACCAGCACCGGCACCCGGCACCAGCACCAGCACCAGCAACCTGTTTCCACCACGTGCACAGCCAGCTCACAGCACCAGCACCAGCACCGGCACCCAGCACCAGCAACCTGTCTCGAAAGCGCGCACGGGCAACTCATTGTTATTTGAAGTAAGAACCCCATAGCTTCGCTATCTGGGAAAAAATAAAAAATATCAAAACAATGCATGCATGTATGTATAGACCGCAAACCTGCAAACTGAATGGGTTGCTTTTGTCAGACTTCTCACAATAAAGGTCAGCCCTGACCCTGTGATGTCTCAGAAATTTGCCGCTGGCCTCTTGACAGGGCCACAAACCTACAAGCAGGCAGCTAGAAGTCGTGTAGTTTAAGGCATCACACAGCAATCAATCCGTTCAGTCGAAGGCACAATCAGCATCGCTGCAAAGGCTCCAAGAAAGGTGGTAGGTCCCCCGAATTTCTGGATGGCCCTACATTTTGAGTTGAAATCCAATTGAGTAAGGAGATGTTGAACCTTTCCATGTTTCGAAACTTGATTCATCTCGATCCCAAATCTTGCAGCAATTACCACGGTGAGGCACGATCAAGGCAATACGGAAGACTCATCATGGATTCTGCAGCTGCGAAATTAGGTCACCCATTGTGCTCTCGTGCGCTCCAGCGCATCCAACATCTATAGTCATCTGAACCTAGTATAAGTTTAAAGCCTTGCCAAGCACTGATTTCTTGAAACTCTTTGACTTTGCTGGCCCTGAGGAAGCGAATCCTGGTGCATGCCTGTAATTAGTACTTTCCCGAATCAAAAGGTGAACCTGCACCCTCTTCGCTCACCTTTCTGGCGCCTTGGCGCGACCAAACCCGGTCACACAAACATTGTCCCTTTTGCACCACCTGTTACAGGTTTGCTCGCACACCTCCTCAGGAGGAATGCGAAAGGCGCGGGACAAAAACGGCACAGCTTCCTCATCACTTTAGGCCTGGCATCAGCTGCGTAGGAGAAGGTCAAGCATTCAAGCACAAAAAACCTCTTGTGATACAAATGTACAATGATATACGGTGCGAGCATCCCCCTGCTGGGAAAGGAACATAATTAACATAATGTCTATTCAAGTCAATCCATCATTCAAAAAGGCCCTACATTGTAATACTAATTAGGCAGTGTTTGGTCTCAGGAAAGTCTTGCATCACCCTCCGCACACTCTGGCGTGCCTTCTATTTTGCCTCCCGAAATGCTGCCCAACTTCATCCGTGAGGCTCGTCCAAAGCTGCTATAGCGGTAGCGCACGGCAGCAATGGGCTTCGCGCCCTCCGAACAGGGAAATTAAGAGAAGTGAAAAAAAAATGATTGATTAAACATGCGCTTGCCAAACCTACACTTCCACATGCCCGGGGAAAAAAAACACACACAAAAGTTGACACTTCAGGGCGCTCCCTGGCCGACTAGGATCTGGATCCTGTTGGAAACCATCCTGCACGCCCAGCCTTCAGTCGCCATGTCCCCGTTGTCTTGTCCAACCCTGCGAGCACTGAGCACACTGAGAAACACACATGCACACTCAAGGCCCAATGCACTGAGAAAAGGGTAGGAGTCGGTAGGAGTCAGTAGGAGCCGGTAGGAGGGTGGTAGGAGGGTGGAGGGTAAAAGTTGAAGGTGAGGACATTGTCTGGCCATGGGTGTCCTGACATTCTAGTATTGGAAGCTGTCAGCCTCCAAGGGTTCCTCGGTGTGCAAGGCAGTTTACGACTATCTCCCCCCAAAGCCAACAACTATCTGGCGCCTTTCGCCTGGTTGCGCAAAGGCCTGACCCTTAGCCCCTCCGGCCCAGCCGAATGTCAAAGCTGCTCCATTTGTGGTGCCCAACTCCACGCCGTTAGTTAGTGTAATGAGACTGGCCAGCAGCAGCAGCAGCAGGAGTAGTAGTAGTAGTCGTCGTCGTCGTCGTCGTCGTCGTCGTCAAGCGGAGAGGGTAGCTCGCACCATACCCGCCCATCGGACAACATGCAGCTAACATTCCGCGAGCCGAACCACACACCCGAGACAGCCACGAAAAGAACACGGAAGTCTACAAAAATCGGACTTTGGCTTGCACAGTCTCACAAGGAGTTCTCTGCAAAGAGGACATCGAAGTGCCAGGCAGGGACGTGTGAGGGAATTGGTCCCGAGCCAATCCCATCCCAAATGTCAAAGCGAAAACGGGGGCGGAATCGGACCGACACGGAAACTAAACGACGAGGAACCGACGACGAATCCCAGTGAAAACTCGGAAAGAATCCAACACGTTGGTAAACGGAAACGGGTTCAAGGGGGGGAGACATCCCCATCACCACGTGCCGCGCGAAGCTGGCTACCCTTTCCTGGGTCCCGGGGCGAACCCCCAGGGGCCCTCTCTGGGGCGACTTATGGGGAAGAGGAGGAAAGAGGAAGGAAAAGGTTTTAGAACGATGTCCGAACCCAGCCTGGCTAGTCGCCTCGGCCTCCTCGACCAGCTTTGCCGCCGCCGGCCCCTTTCTGACCCTTACCTTTGGCCTGCGCTGCGCCTGAGTTTTGGACCGCGGTCTGGGCACCGGGGTGGGCACGCGGGCCCAATTAAAGTCTTTGCCATCAACAACCTCGACGGCTCCCGGGGAGTAAGGACCACACTGATTGCGCCAGAACTGTCTTTGCGAGACAGCCCTCCAGAGTGGGCCAACAAACCATTAACGAGACGCTGACGACACAAGAGACGAGCACGGCAGGACTTACTCTGGCGCCACCAACCATAAGCAGAGCCGCTTAACGCCGCAGACGAGGATCGGCGAATCCAGGAGACCGGCAAGTGGCATGTGACAAGAACCCCTCAGCGACAGTTCGGTAGACGGACGCAGAAAGGGAGTGTGGCCTCCTTAGGGCCAGTCACGGACAAAGACTAAAGACCTCCAAAAGATCTTCAACCGGCGACCACGCGGGTGAAGATGCTCCCGCCCGCAGCTACGCATCCGAGGAGACCGGCTGAAGTGAAAAGACACCAGACACAGAAGACAAGCATCGTGCTCCCGGAAGAGGCTCCTGCGCTGTGCAGGGTGGGATTAGCCCGGTACAGTATTTAACCAACCAAAAGGAGCAGAGCGCAGGAGGAGTGCTTCCACGATTTGGCCAGACTCCAGACAGGGGCGGTCACCTGACAAACTTAAAAGAAAGGGGCCAAGTAAGTAGGAAATCATATTTAAAAGCACCGGTTGCCCCGGAGACGGCGCCATGGACGCCGAAGTTGTCATCCGTTGTCTCCGATGACAATGGTCAATAGTAGTAGTAGTAGTAGTAGTAGTAGTAGTAGTAGTAGTAGTAGTAGTGCCGCTAACGGTCCGCGCGCCGGACCACACTCCCGAACAGCTACGAAACGAACCTAGAAGACGACCGAAACCGTGACTTGAAGTGCTCGGTCTCACTTGAAGTGATCTGCGAAGAAGACATCGACGTGCGAGAGAGGGACAGGGGAGAAGATTGTCCCTGAGCCAACCGGGAGTATTGAAACACCAGCGGGGGCGAACGACACAGGAGGAACACGAGACGGACCAGGACCACATTTTGTGCGGCTCGAAGATCGACGAGAAAACAACGCGGGTAACCCTTGCGAAAGCTCGGAAAAGAGCCAACAGGTGCCTTACTAGTAGTAACAAGAAGCCAGTAGTAACAAGTGCCTTACTAGTAGTAACAAAGCTCGGAACAGAAACAAATGCTGTTGGGGGGGAGATCCCCGTCACCACGACTTTTGGGCGCGCGAAGCTGGCAACCCTCTCCTGCACCCCGGGACGAACCCATTGGGGCCCTCTCTGGGTGACTGAGGGGGAAGAGGGGGGGAAGAGGAGGATGGCACGTCGAAGATCAAAATAGCGATTCCGCAACGCTTGGGTAGCACGACGAGAAGACATACCTCAGGGAGAGCCAAGGAATCGGAGACGAAAGTGTTAGTTGACAAGAGCCCCTCAGCGATAGTGCGGCAGACGGACCCAGAAAGGGAGCCTTTGGCTCAATCATGCACAGAGGAAACCGCAAAGACTAAAGACCTCCAAAAGATTCCAAAAGATCTTTAATCGGTGACCACGCGGGTGAAGATGCTCCCGCCCGGCAGCAACGCATCCGAGGAGACCAGCTGAAGTGAAAAGACCCCAGCCAGTCAACCGCCCTCGCTCCGAAACGAAGACAAGAGACACAAAGGACAAGCGTCGTGCTCCCGGAAGAGGCTAAAAGAGTAAAAACAAAGCAGGCGGACGAGAACCCAGGCCACGATATCCGGAAAGCGTCCACCAAGTGGCCACTCTAAACAGGGGCAGTGGCCTGAACTGGAAAGACAAAGGCCAAAGTAAGAAAGCGTTAGCTTTTTTTGACAAGCACCGAGGACGCCGAGACGGAGACGGCACCGAGGACGCCGTTGTCATCCGTTGTCGATGACAATGATCAGTTGTAGTCTCTGGAATGAAACCGGAAGCCGGGGTGCTTCCGCTCGGAAAAACAAGACAACGGCCCCTCGCGTGCTGCCAAAAAACTCGCCGCTCGGCCAAGCACAGTGCTGCCAACCACGGACTCTTGTGTTGCACGGTAGCCATGCGGACAAAGCCTGGAGCTCCAAAACCGGATCTAAGTCGGCTTGCAAAGACGTCTTGCAAACACTTGTGCGTCCATGTGTGTTGTTTCTCGAACTCTGGCAGAGTGCTTATCCACAGCTTAATGACATGTCGAGATGCATTGGGGGAATGGGACGCAAAGGTTGCAGATTTAAGGCTGGTGAGGACAAACTTTTGCACTTCATGAAATGCTCCAACTGCCGATGCAAATCAATACAGGGGGGTACCGTATGCTTGCTACAGTGTTACAGTAGTCTTCACATGCTACAGTCTGTTTGCTAGTATGCAACTATGTGACTATGTATTCGTCGCACATCACTTTGGGCGAGTGGCATCTCGCAAAAGTCTCGAAGACCGATCTCCCCAGTAGGGCCAGCTGCAGTCCCTGAGGTGGGTCAGACCGAGTGAGGGCTCAGAGCGCTCGGAGCTAATGAAAAAAAGATCTCTCTGCATTCCAAATCTGCAATGTCGCAGGCAGGTTGCTCACGAAATCACTTGCACCAGCTTTGTCCTGAGATGGCTGGTACATGCAAAATTACAAAATGATCAAGGTGGAAAAACCAAACAGGAACTACGTACTCGTCTATCTACATGGCTGTTGCAATTGTTTCAAGGCAGCCATGGATCGACAAGGCCAGAGAGAACGAGCTCGTTGGCAGAGATCTTCCCTCCGCCGTCTTTGTCGAAGTAGTCGAACACTGCCTAGCCAGGAGTTGCTCAATATTCACTACACACTGGTGCGTGCAAATGCCCTCTCGTCACTCAGATGGATGAGCCTGACAAATCGCACAAATGGACAAATTCTGATGAGCGAGCGAGCGAGCAAGTCAGTGAGTGGGCAAGTCCAAGTGGATTGAATCGGAGGCAGTCATAGTTGCACCAAAAATACGTCATTGAGGGGAGGAATTGCTCTGAAATCGACTTCACCTGCCCAACATAACAGTTGCTCCTAAGCAAGCATATTTCAAGCGGCTGTAGCTTGGGAAACTCGGCAAACAGTTTCTCAGTATTCCATGATCTCTTGTAGTTTCGTAGAATGTCGTTGCATGGAGATGGAAAACTGTGCGAAGGCCGCAATTGTTGATGAAAATCATGTGGTTGGAGCGCTGCAACCATCCCCGGCGTCCACACCTGTAGCGCATCTTTCGCCTCTGCAGGCAGAACAGGTGGTGGAGTCACCTGCCATTTGTCGCCTTAGCCCGAGCTGATTTACACATGACACGTTCTCCCCTCCATCCTGTTTCTTGATCGCAAACCTGACTGACTAAGCTAATCCAGTCACCCCTTGAACAATTGGTAGCTGCCTCCCCCTCAAACAACCTGGCTCTCGAGCCTCCTGAAAAAATGGGAGTCACTCCGGGTGGCGGGTGTTGTTGATCTCTTCGCACCAAGCTGACATCTGTGCCAAATCCGCGGAAGAGGAGCAAGGCCAAATGATCCGCATCATGTCCTCGTTTCTGATGGCGAACCTTGTTACTAGTACGGCCAGGAGCCCTGTTCGTAGTGTCCGATCGCTCCGTTCGTAGCGATGCCCTTTGCTCCGTTCGTAGCGTCCGATCGCTCCAAATACATAAGGGTTTTCACCTTCACATGCCCGGCCCCGACCAAGCACAAAATATATTCCGGCAAATGCCGCTCTTTGGATTACCGCCGGCCTCCTACACTACACGTTTCAATCGTCGGGCACCTTTCAGAATCTATCTGTGCGGGTCTGCATCAGCATCTACCGGAATTTGATGATACAGGTGCAGTTTGGCTCAGTGACGTTGTGCAAGGTTAGTTGCGACAAACAAGATGCAAGCAAGCCGTCCTGGCTTGACTAAATGTGGGTATACATAATGTTCTATCACTGAAGCTTGGGCTACCTTCTGGGTGCAGGAAAGAAGGGAATTGATGGGATGATTTATTAAAGGGACTGATGGGTCAGTCTACAAGGTAGAAACAAAACACCCTCTCAAAGGGACGACAACGATTTAAATGTGATGATGTGGATGATGCGAGTTGACGCGATCCCACAGTCCGAGGGTGTGAAGGTGACAATGGCGGTGAATAGAACAACCAATGAACAGGCGTCGACTCCCTCCCCGCAACATGTGCTAGCAAAAGCATGCAGGAGATACTGTATGCGCTATGTTCCATGTATCTAGCATGGGTTGAGCAGCGCACTGAGGAGCAACATTCAGACTGATGATCTCTTCTCACTGACGGCAAAGATGTGACACAGATGTGACACAATCTCATAGCTTACAGTCATAGTCATAGCCTACAGTACCGCCCATGTTGTTTGTTAAGCACAAGGGCACAGGGTCACCATGCTCCAATTCCACTCCATTTTCTGTTGGCTTCCTCATGTTGAGTCAACAGACTTTTTGAGCAGGCAACTTGTTCATCGCACCCAAGCTGAAGTTGTGCGACATAGTGGTGATGGAAATGACATGCAATACACGGCGCTCTCCCCTTCTCTTGTCGCTCTCCATCCCTCCCCCTCTCTCCCTTTCTTTGTCTTGCTCGTGGTAGGTGCTATCCTTGCTCATCTCGGTGTGTTTGTGTTTCATGCGTGGTCTGCCACAGAGTCCAGTCCTCCAAACTGAAGCTCGGCTTTCGCGCTGCAGAGAGGGCCTAAACACAGTGAGTCGCAGGTTGCGCGCCCACCGAGTCAAAGGTGATACAGCCTTTGACTGAGCTAGCATAGGAAGTTCTCGCAAGGAAAAGAGAGCTACGAATGACTACTGCGTTCACTTGGTCCACGATGTTGTGATTTCAGGGAACGCCAAAAAAAACAAAAAGGATGGTAAAACTCCCTTTTAAAGCGGCTTTCTGTTCTCTTCCTTCAATTAGCACAATTCATGATTGAGTTTGTGGAAGCTTCGGTCTTGCTGGACCAAAAATATTCAATTCTAACTATGTCTCCCACCGCGGTGAGGCGTTCGCAAAGCTTCTGGACAAAGCGGGAGCGCTCCTGGCGACTAAACAGGAGGCACCCAAGCACCCGCGGGGTGTCTTTATCGCGTGACACAACAGCCTGGTGGCTGGATATTGTGTCCCATGCCTGGTGACTTCATTTAAAATATTGTACAGCACTACCAGGACTGTAGAATTCTCAGTCTGCATCCCCGTTTGTGAGAAACATGTGGGATGAGGCACTGTGTGGGCCGTGATGATAGCCGATGCACCTCAGCTGTGCTGGCAATCCAGGGTGGCATTCGGCTCAAGATGCCTACAGGCGTGCCACGACGGTCATGGCCAGGTGATATATGGTTGCTTACAAATACCCAGCCATTCGTTTGAATGGTCTGTCACCAAAAACGAGGGCATCACAATTGAATGACAAGTGAACAGTGAGGGTTCTATAACAACACTACCACAGAACCACAGGCTGTGCACTGTTTATGTGTGTGTTTCTACTTATTTCTTACAGTAAATAAACAGCCCAGCTGGCACCATCCATGTTATATTTTTCCGGACCCCACTGGAACCCCGACCCGAGCCCGAAGTCTGCCAGAACACTTGAGAGAGGAGGGGGTGAACGAAAGGTAGCAGGCAATCACAAGCAACCCTGGTAAAAGTCCATGACGGCGTGAACCGGCAGAGGGGGGATTTCATCCCCCCGACGAACAGAATCAACTCTTACAGGACCAAACTCAATGCACGATCCCAACTCCTGATTGTAATACATTTTTGCTAAAGCAAGGAGAACTCAGGTAGCTCAAGCTACCTTTCGTGAATTGGGGCCTGGGCTGTGCCTCAGACCACCCCGGAACCTTTCTTCTTGAGTCGACTTCGTTTTGCTGTTGGGGGTGGCTAGACGCCGCATTGGGCCCTTGTCAAGTGTTGTTTCCAAGATGCTTTGCGGATCTTCTTGGGCGCCTAGGGCATTGCTCTCCAGCCTTAGGAGCAAGTACGCTACTAGGGTCTCCTGGCGCTACTAGGAGCAAGGGCATTGCGGCATCGCTACTAGGGGCTCCTGAGTGTGGCTGCAAGAATCACTGGGCACATTCCTCACGCCCTCAGCCAAGAAGCCATTTATGCGCTGCAGCCAAGTCGATCATCAAACCTTCCAGTGAAACCGCAGGACTCTTGCTACTAGGAGCATGGACGCTACTAGGGACTCCTGGCCATACTATTAGGAGCAAGAAGCTACTAGTAACAAAGGGCATCGCTACTAGTAACAAGAAGCTACTCTCATAACCATTCATAGCCTGTAATGTAGCCTGTTGATTCATCAAAACAACCCCAGGGGGGTCAAACATCTTCTAACCTGTCGGTGTGCGCATGGTTTGCGACTAAAACCGTCTTCCGACTGCTTGGCTGGTCTTGCTTCAAGGCGCGATCCGCAAAGCGCTGCACTTGAGCAAGTTCAATGCGACCCGCATCATCCGGGTCCTCAGAAAAGCAATGCATGTTTGTATGTGCATATATATATATACAGTATATATTATATACTTGCACATTGTTTATATATATATCTATACATATATATATATACTGTATATGTTATATATTGTGTTTATATATTTGCTTTACGTCTTGTCTATATAGTATAGAAATACGTTAAATATGATCCACACCTGGTGGGGGAAATTGACAGGTTGTGGTCTTATAGAATCCTGAGCATAAGATGCTATAGAATCCTGTAAAATCCCCATGAGTCTTGTATTTTTTCCTGTGTTGAGGTGAAACTTAAACAATGATTTATTCTTGCCCGGATCTTGATTCTGTATTACAAGTCTCCCTGGTGATTGTGACAGCCAACGGGGATAAATATGTGACAGGCGCTCGTGTTTCTGCTTCCTGCTTCAAGTCAGATTATCGCAGTGCGATCACCTCCATGCCGCGGCCACTGCAGCTCAATCAGGGGGCAGTTGAGGGCCTAGCAGTTGAGGGCCCCTTGCCCGTACACAAATGAGATAAGCTCTTGGATGCTTTGGGTGTCTTGGATGTCTCATCGTCTTCCTCCACGGCTTTGGGTGTCTTGGATGTCTCATTGTCTTCCTCCACGCTTTTGAAACACTCCAAAAGTGTTTGGTCTGCATGCTCAGCGGTCAAAAGCTGTCCATCCATGCTGCACAAGAGGACATTGCGCTTGTTATCCGGATCCACCTCGCCTTGTATCTCAATAGTAAGGAATGCCATAGTTTCCTCCTTGCTGCACTGCACCTGACACAGCTCTTCGCCCCCAACACTGCGTCCTATGACAGAGCAATCCTTTTTGTTGAAGCTCACCTCCAGTGAGACAATGAGATCTTCCTTGACGGGCTCAGGTTCAGGACGCCTTGGACGCCTTCTGTAACAATCATAGGAGGGATTATCGTGGAACAAAGGATCTCGCTCTGTGCCCGCGCAGTAGATCAATCCCTTGGTGGACTCTGCTGTCTGCGACATCGCCGGTGTCTTGTTGGCCAGAACGCCCATGACCAGAAGGCGCTTGGGGAGCGTCTCAAAGTAGATGCCGTAGTGTTCCGCGGATTTCTGGTGTGAAGGCCTACATTCATCTTGGTAATTCTCAAAAATAATCATGCGACCCCGCTTGCCGGCGATAGTGTTCATCCCATCAGCATACGGAAACCGAATGCCGCCGACGGCGTTGAAGTACAATACAATGGAAAGGGTCGGGACAACTCTTCGTTGATTCGACCTCGAGGGGCTTTGCCTCGTCAAATCCAAAAAGTCGATAGGTTGCCCAGCCGCTACATCATCAATATTGGTGTGGTCTACATGGGCATCCTGTCCGCGGCCAAAGACTTCAGTCACCATGAAATTGCGATGCTGGGGCACGGCACCTTCCAAGCCACAAATGTCCGAGATAGTCTCAAATAGCTCCTGGAATTGCTTAGCAAAAATCTCTATCTTGGACGTCTGAGCTTGAAAGTAGAACATGCTAGTGCTTGCGGAAGAGCAGGGCCCAGCACATGCGGTGCTTATATATTATATATATATATATGTGTGTGTGTGTGTCTGTGTGTGTGCACCTATATATATATACATATGTGTGTGTGCACCTATATATATATAATACAGTAAATATTCCAACAAGTTTAGACTCAGCGTCCCTCCCTTACTCCTGCCACAAGGCATCAGCCTCAAAATCAATGTTCCGTGCCACGATTCTCCGACCATTGTGCTTTTCCACAACATTGCGATCCGTGGACTGAAAGGCCATGTCGACAGACTCCAGGAATTTGTGCGAAGCAGCGTCATCGGTGACCCAAATCCTGGGGTCCTGCGACACCAGCCGAATAACAGGAGCCATCGCAGCGCAACATACTACAACGGCTTGAACCGTGCTGCACTGGCCAATGCGTCAAAAAGTTCGGAAGTAACAAAGTGGCAAGGCTGCTACATGCAGGAACTGGGTTGCAGCAAAGTGTCTATCTTGTCCCACGCTTTCAAGAGCTTTGGCATGTCATCCTTCGTGCCTCAGTCTGAGACTCTGTGCGCTGTAAACACGCTACCCCGATGCAGTCTGCAAAAGGCCAAGCTTTGGACCGCAACTCTCAAAGAACCTTGGCGAAACACGAAGCCCACCAATCTCAAGCACATGAAGGTGGCCTATGACAGCACACGGCTCGGCTGCGGTGCCTACATTTATTGGTCTTTACGGAGTCGCCTGCATGACGGGAAAGCTCACCACCACAGGGTTGTACGCATTCCATGCCATCAAACCGAAAAACAGCAGAGTCCAGATCAGTCAAGTGGCACGCTCTCCCTCTCTCTCTTTGTTTTGCAATTCCTCAGCTGCAAGGACTGCCCACGCTGTGGGTAAAACACACTACCGCTAAAGAGGACTCGTGCTTTGGCCATCTGGCACACCTTGTGTTCTTCTGACTTTTCTTCTGGCCCAGGGGGGGTAGACTGTGGGAGTTATACTTGCTGCCACTTGCAGGGAAGGCTCTCATTGCCTACAGCCCCAAAGACAAACCTCAGGCGTGCGACATGTGGAGCATCAGCAACAGCAGTTGTGTTTGTCATGACCGCACATGAAGCACAATATCACAAGTGTTCCAGAGGTTTCCAAAAATCCAAGTGCACACGTGTGGATGTCCAACTTCAAGCTTGTGCGTTTTGCCCTCTGCTCGCGACTTGATTCTCTTCATAGTGCCGCGGCGAAGATGAAATCTTCATCGCTCCAATGGCGTCAGGCTTTGGTCACAAACAGCTGACGTGTCACCCCAAACATCTTGGACACAAAGGGTGGGAGGGCGGAGGGGTAAGCCATGATCTGCTTTCACCCGCCGATCTTACATGAACTTGGTGTGTGTGTGTGTTCCTCTGCCCTTCCCATGCTGCAAAGCTGAATTATATACCTAAAACCTAAAAGCGATTTCCAGGCACAGTGAGCCTAGGCTCCATTGTCCTAGGCGCCTGGATTGAACGACTCAATGGGCTGAAGACATGGCTCACTTGTGGCCACCTTTGCTCCGCCCGGCCTGGAAAAGGGAACGTCGTTTGAGTACGAATGGTCTCTGAGAGGCTCGGCGGCCTCATCGGAATACATGCCTGGTCTGTAGTCTTAATCCTAATTGTATGTAGCACATATATATATATACAGTATTATATACAGTACTTATTTACAGCAATCCCGTTAAAAGCTGTTGGTGCAATGGCTCCTTTAGGTGAATGGACTTCTTTCTGGTTCGACATCTTTCTTGCATCTATGGCCTCGGTTGCATGCCAGAGGTGATCGCGAGCGAAGAGGCGTGCGCCTCGGACAGCACTCTCACACAGTCAAGCCATCAAGCTCTGCAGACCCCCTCAGAGTTTCATATTCTGTGTCAGTTGCGGTGGCGTCATGCTCGTCAATTGCAACTATAGTATGCAAAGCAAGTCTGGCCGCTGGGTCAGGTGCAAGACAGGTGCTGCGGCTGTATGTAGTACGGGTGGTGAGCAGCCTCTCGGTAGCTCCCAGGACAAGCCTGCATTGCCTGGCGGTGGCATTCGTTATTCTTCATGTCAGAAACACCTCGGACACCTCAACACTGCGACACTGATTGTTAGGCCAGGAACAGTGTTTCAAGTGCACGAACAATGAAAAAAAGAGAGAGAGAGAGAACCCAAGAGTGGCTTAACATGGGCACCTCTCAAGCTTGGAGGCACCTGACAACTTGCCTGCATCCCACGGCTCGCATCCTGAGTTCACCAAATGCCGCCACTGTCAACACCTATTAGGACATCTCTTGGAAGAAGTCAAAATCCAACGGAACAAATAGCTGCCCCTTCCCACAAGTGTAGAAAACAAGCCACAATACTAATACATCCGATCACACAAGTCCCCCTCAAGCTTTTTGGACAAGGGTCAGCCAGCGGATGCGCTGTCACTACCATTCGGAGTGGCTGCCCACTGTGCACAGATACAGGCGCACACGGGGACGGTGTTCGAGTTCGAGGTCCGACTGGAACGCTTGCTCTGTGATAAGTGACTGGCTGCGCTGGCTGTGCTCGGACTGGTGGTGAGTCTGGTGACACGGCACGGGGGGGGTGCCACGTGATCCACTCGTAGTGGGGAAGGTGACCGTACGGCCGCGACGTGCGCGGGCCGTCGGGGTGAGAACTGGCACGGCGACGCCCGGTAGATGGGCACAGTCGCACGCCCATGAAGTGGGTCCGGCAAGCTTGTCCTATACCTGGGGCTGGAACAAGGTCCACCAAGTCCACTGGGTCTCAGGCAAACGCCTGGGTTGGCTCCACTAAGCCTGGCTTCACGAGAAGAACACATGTGGCCAGCTATGTGGGCATCACTGCGCGAAGGGCATGGTGCACATGGAGAGGAGGCTCTCCTAGGCATCGCCATTCCTGGCTCTGCGCGCACGCCCTCCGACACAGGTGAGGGTACTCTCACTGATGCACCCGAGCATTGCCACGGGATGTGCTGGGCCCCCAGAATCTGCGGTGGTGGTGGCATCACGCCAACGATTCGAGGCGGAGAGACGGAGACTCGCCTTCGTGGAATGGTGGTTGGCTCGGCGATGTATCTAGGTCCAGGTGCAGGAGGATGGCTTTGAAATTGCCACCCAACAAATCTCGGTGTCGCTGGAGATGTCTTGTATACTGGAAGCCGAGGAGGGGAGCACATCCTGTGATGTTGCATCGGCACTGCCTGTGGCAGCAAGCTGTGCAGGTGCCTGCCATGGGCTGCACGAAGGCTCGTGATCTATATGATTGCATGCGTCATGACACAAAAATATGCAACTCTTTTATATACATGTATACTGTATATTGTTGTATCACGTGCCTTTGGCATTCAGCATGTGACAGCTGCACTGGAGCGGCGGTTTCCGCGTGCTGTTCAGCTTGAACCTGGCAATCCCAGCTCTTTACTCCTTGTGTAGGATCTTCCAGGCTCTAGCTACATGTTGAATCCTTTGGGAGGAAAAGCACGACATCACAAAAAGCTCAGGCAGGACAGGAAGGAGCTCCGGAAAGTGGTATTGAAGGTACAGCAGCTGATGGAACCCAAGCCACCAAATTCAGGCCAAAGAAAAGGGACATGTGGCAATCTTCACAGACCCCTGGGTTCGAATCCGTAAGGCAGAAAGGACCATTACAGAGACTAAGGAGCTGGAAACAACACACGAGAACACACAAATCAGCAACCAGGGAGTGCAAACGAAGCTCGAAAAATGGTGAGCTGGGGGGCCGATGGAGCAGAAGCGAGCATCAAAAGCTGGATAGAGGATTTGAAGGCGCAGCTTGAAGGGAAGCTAGCATCAGCTTGCGGCGGTGCAACAATGCGGGACTGCAGAGATGTGACTGGGAGAATGGACAAGGAGATAAACATATATAAACTATACTGCAAACACACGCACCTGTTGATTGAAAGGAATTGTCACAAATTTACAAAAACTAAACATATTTTAAAGGCAGATTAGTAGATGAGAGCAACATCACATAGTCTTTGGGTCAAATCACAAGAGAGAATCCTGCTGAGTGAAGAAATTGACAGCTTCCAATTACTATATAATTGACTCCTGAGATCACTGAGCGCTGGACACCAATATCCGGTTCCTGCTCTGGTTGCTTCTCCCGTGAACGTATGGAACTTGGGGAAAGCTCCTCCGAGATCTCGGGCAAGTCCTCCAGGTGGCTCTCCGGATCCTGGAATGAGAACAGGAGAAACATGAAGCTAGAATGAGAATGAGACTAACGAAAGGAGGTTTGACATGTAAAAATCACCAGATCGAGCCCCGCACCTTCCGTTCGACAGATGGTGGCCCCAGCTCATCTGCCACGGGCAGCTTGGGCCGTGGAGTGCTGAGGCTTTGGCCTCGGCGCTTTCGTGTGTGGTCGGAGGCCGCGGAGGTGATGGGATTTGTCCAAGGTGCTCGAAGTGTCCCAGAAGTACCGGCGTTTGAACCTGAATGGAAAGCTCCATGAGAAGGGCGCAAGCCGGGCCCACTTCTAGATGTCCTGACCTTTGTCAAAAAACTAGAACGCTCCTAGTAGCGTCTTTGCTCCCAGTAGTAAGGCCAGGAGCCCCTAGTAGCGTCCTTTTCTCCGCTCACAGCGAAACCAAAATCCAAGTGGCGCATCGAGTTTTTCTCGGGCTTGAGTGGTCGCTTGCATTAGCAAGGCCATTTGGAGGGCCTGTTCCTGCGAAATTCAGTGCGGATTGCAAAAGGCTAGGCTCTGACTCCGGTGGGCGGGGTGTGAAAATTGCCTTATTGCGGCAACATTCTAAAACACAAACAACAAACTTCAGTGTCAGCTCACAAACACTGAAGCAGTTCGCACCCCCACCGTGCAAGTAAGCCAGAAAGCACACTGGAAGAGGCCCAAGAACGCTGGTCCTTGTTTTCTCTCTTTGCGTCTTCCAAGCGGTCCAAGAACATGTTCCGCCGGCCAAACATGTCATCCTGGACTGCTTGCATCGTGTTTCGAGGGAAATTGGTCAACTGCTATCCAACTCACTGACTAGCCCCCAGTCCGTGCAGGTGTCAAAGTCGTCGACCAACCGTTGGTATGAAGACACCACCTTTGCACGGAAAGCTCAAAAAAGGAAGAACTTGGACACGGCTGGTGCTAGGCGGCATATGCACTGACACCAAACCCGGCACCCCAAATTAGTCTTGGAATGTTTCTCTACAATTAACTTGTAGTGTATGTAGTTGCTTTCCTCCGCAAGTCCTGCGCAAAGGGCCTCTGGCGGAGGGAACTCTCTCGGAAGAAAGTGTTGCGCAATGTTGCGCAGCTAGGGGGTTCAGCGACCAAGGGTGGACATGGCTCACTTCGTAACATAAATGCCCACCCTGTTTCAATTGAAAAGATTGCAGTGCCACCTGCAAAGGTCACCCCTCGTTCCTCAGTTTCTTAACCCAAAACAACTGCAATGCCAAGTATGTCACAGTGTTGTTTGATTTGTTTGTAAATCAACGAACGCAAGTCAATTCGCAATCACCTCACGCGCACTCTTCTATCAGACCGTGTCAAGCGCTCTTGGGAAGGAAAAGCACAAAAATCCAGTAGTCGGTGGCGGAGTGGCACAAACTGTTTTGCGCACAAACTATTTACGGCTTCCAAGTGGTTGTTTTTCATGGTGTTGAAAGTGAAGCACTACTCATCGAAGCCCTTGGAAGTGTGTCACGAGTCCTGTGATTTGGGTTCCTGAAGCCATGGACGGGGATCCGTCTGCAACACTCCTGTTTGGCAGGATCCGTCTATAAGGCGCCCAGACCAACCTTGACAAGCGCTCTGGGTGAACGAAATCTAGGGCAAATCGCTTGCAAAAATATGTCGCAGGTGGACTACCCTCGTTCAATGTGTTAGGAAGGCCGAGTCATGACGGGACTGGTCTTTCCGTGTCGGCCCCAACCACGGCGGATCGGAGCGTGAATTTCCAGAGAAGGGCGATCTTGGACAGTTAGCTCTTGATATTCTGGTTGATGCTCTTCGGTTCCATTTGTCAGGCAGGTTGCACACTCCTCCCAAACTCGCGCTGAGTCATCCTGCTCACCTCACCACGGGGACAGTGTCACAGGGTTTGAAAGGTGAATTGAAAGGTGAATGATCTATGAGTCTGGTGGTGCCAAACAAAGCTTTCAGGCCTGGCAAGGTAGGCTGGTTGGACAGCAGAGTTGTCAGAGTCTCGATCAGGAAGGTATTGCGGCGCTTCGCATCGTCTGCGTACCTGCTAACGAAAAGCCCTGGCGAACGGAAAGCATTGCACCCATTTACCGCTGATCTTTTCACTCCGTATGCAAGTATTTTCTCCGCTTCACATGGTCGTCCGAGGTGCGCTGTCATCAGCTCCAAGCATGCTTGAAGCGCTTCGCCTTCCATGTCTTGTTGCTCGGAATGCCTGGAGTCATTGTATGACGGACAGGCGGCATGGGTTCGAGATGCCGTTGGTCGAGTCGTAGTAACAAGAAGCTACTAGGAACAAGTGCATCGCTTCTAGTAACAAGTGCCTTACTAGTAGTAACAAGAAGCTATTAGAAACAATAAGCTACCAGGAACAAGTGCATCGCTTCTAGGAACCCCTTTCACCAGGAGGTCTTTGTGGGTCTATCCGAAGACACATCCACGTTGTACTCGCTGAGGGGCGTGTTGAGCTCCTCGTATTGGTCCGCCAAGTCTTGGATCTCCATTCCTTGCAACAAATGCGCTTTCTCAATGTGTGCCAGATGTGTGCAGCACATAACATACTTGCCTCAAACAAAAGGCCTGCCATGTTGAACTTACCCATCATCTGAGTAGAAGCCAAATGTGATTGTGGGCGTGTAAAGAATTGTATAAATATATACGAATATACTGTATATATGAATATATTGTATATGTATATATATATATATTACATATATATATATATGGTCTTCATGGATGTGCCCACCACTTGCCAAGCTTCGCTGCGTGATCGACTTTCCATCCTCATCTCTGAAGAATAGCATCATGTTCTTCAGAAAGACCTCTTCGCTGGCCTTCCTTTCTACAATCTGCTTGTGGAGCTTCTGGCACTCTGCCCGAAGATACCTTTTTCGCCACTTCGACGTTCGCTTCAGCAGCTCCTCTTCATCATCATCTGGGGTGGCTGCTTTCTTTGGCGCAGGCACTTCAGCTTCGGCCCTTGTCACTGCCTCTCAGGCATTGGATTCTTTAAGCATGCCTGATACATCCCGATATTAAATACCGCTGAGCACCTGAGCACAAACTCAAACGTCCCTGACCCAACCTGACCTTCTCCACGTGCTGTTTCGGGAAAAGATCACCTATACCCCTGATCAGCTTTGTTGCCACTGTTCGCAGATCTTCTTGAGGCATTTCTACCTTGCCCACGTGATAACCAGGATTCGCGGACCAAACCCATGGCGGCCGCTCCGCAATGCCTAGGACTGGGTTCTGAGGTCGAAAGCTAGTCGAAACCTCAAACCTGACGCTCCTGAAATCAATGTGGGCAATTCACCTGTTATCTGTGCGTATCTTAAAAGCCGCTCCTTGCTTGTACTGTCCTGTCTACACTAGTAATTCAGCTCGTGATGCTGCTGTCCATTTGTACTGAGGCCGCGGAGCCTCTGCATTGTCCAGTTGCGCCGGAGCACAGAGCCAAGCGGCCAAGATGTCGAGATCCATGGGGAACTATCTAACATGCTGCCAAATCAGTCATGGACGGCAGCTGACCAAACAAAACATAGAAATAGAATTAACAAAGGATGAAAAAGGAAGAAAGAAAACAATAAAATGCCTAAAGGCCCAAAAGCCACTAAGAAAAAACAAAGGGACCAACCTCATCTGAGATTCCGGTGAGAAAAACATTTCTCTCTGACCCCAGATGGACATCCCAAGAAGTCCAAGCAACATTCTCATGAGTTGGCATGCGTCTCTTCGAAGTTGGCCTGGGATGTGGTCGTCGTAACGAATTAGTAACTAGGAGTGCTCATAAGTGCGAGCACCAATGAGCACCAAGGTGTTGCACACATTCACATGAAACGCAAACAAGACACTCATCTTTTGCCTTGACAATTGGTCAAGCAGATCAGGCCTGGCCAAAGAGCGCCAAGAAAGCAAACAGTTGCTCCATCGAGCCTAAAAAGGGAAAGGCCAGTCCTTCATGTTTGGTCAACACCCGCTTACAGGGCCCCTGGGCCTCAAACAGTAGTTTCTACCTTTGATGATGTGGAAACATTTGTGGACCATTAGGTTGGAGGCCATCGCTAGTAGGTTGGAGGCCATCGTTTCATTCTTTTTGCCATTAGGTCATTAGGTTGGAGGCATCGCTATTAGGTTGCACCTCTCTGGCAGCTCTTCCAAGCTATCGGATTGCTGGGACCGCCGCCGCTCCTTCGGCAACAGTTACTTGGTCTCTTTTTTCATTGTGACACGTGTGAGTGTCTCTTCTGGTTTCAGTTCAAGGTTCAAGAGCACCCTTGCTTAAAATTACCAACTGTGTTATAAGTCCCCTTCTGTAAGCATGAGACTTACGTAGGTGCTTAGCAAACGAGCTCGTTCAGCTCGTCCTCTCCTGACTTTCTCCCTCAAGGAAGGAGGCCACACGAGCCATCGCCTAGTCAAAGCCGCAGAAATATAATTGATTGAGCAAATAGTTAATGGCGGGCCATCATTCCGTGCCTGCCTTTGGGTCCCGGAAGGACTGAACCCGAGCTCTTGCCTGCAGAAGCATCTTGATGCAGACAATTCTCCGGCATTGTTGGGTTCAGCCAAGGTGCTATTGGGCGTGAGGGTCTCCTTAGGCACTGCTGGAGTGATACTCGAACCGTGAGAACTGAAGCTATCCAAATGCTTTTGTAAAACTAGCGGAATGAGCGGCATGAGGCAGCAACACACAAACAAATGGCCAAGTCCAAGGGTCTTTCTGCGGACTTCGGCTTCATCAGGAATGCAGAAAACGCTGCCCTTCTTGTAGGAGTGTACATCATCTATCCTGCACAACGCCACGGGTCGCAAGCGACTCTTGGCACAACACGTCGAAAGGTCGCCAAGACAAAAGAGAGTCACAAGATCTTGAGCGGGGAAGGGGCCGGTCCTGCAGTCTTGACTCTGGAAATAGGCCTGGCCAGGGACAGTCTATGAGTTGACCCAGTTGGACGTTCGGAGGTTGGCTGATACGGCAGAGCTACAGTTCTACAGCATTCTCTGATGCACATCGGATCGGGAGGGGCATCAGTTTAGAGGAACATCATCCAGAATGAGAACTTGGCATTCCACTAGACTATCACTATCGAATTGCAGGTTTCGGTTGACATCAATGAGCAGGAGAACGAAGGGAGGCCAGTAAAGGCAGCGGAGGTAACGACATCTAATGACTCTACGACTCTCACGAGATTGTCCGAGCATCATCCTGTCTGCCTCAACTGGATCCTCTGGAAGGAGAGGTTGTTCAGCCAAGCTCAGCTTGAAGAGATCGTGGTCATCGACTGAAGCAAAGGCATGGGAATGGGAACCCTGAAAATAACCCAAAAGCGTGCACTCCAAAAAAACGGATGCAAGAAAAATCCTTAGCCCGCCCACCAGCAGTAGAACCAGCGGTAGAAGCAGTGAAGAAAACAGGCCTATTACAAATACTTCGAGCAATTTCGAGCAAGATTTATAAAGATTGTTTGATTTCGGTCCTTCCTAACTTTGATCCTGTCAGAGAAAACAAGCACGATCGTTGTCCACAACGTTCTATTCCCCAATCAATCGGTGACGGTTTCTTTTGATGTGGTGACTTTTACTGGCATGTTGAAGGCCAATAATGCACCCAGGCTCTGTGGCGGATGGAGCCAACACACCCAACCTTGACGAGCTCTAAGCTACCACCATGCTCCACCCATCGACCATTCAACGCCCGCAAGTGCTGCTTGAGTCGCGTTCCACCCGTCGCGGTGAGCGACTTTTGGGGGACCGCTCCTCAGTCGTAACATTGCTCCTAGTAGCTTCTTGTTCCTACCCCTAGTAGCGTCCTTGCTCCTAGTAGCGATGCCAGGAGCCCCTAGTATATAATAGCCTCTTGCTGCTAGTAGTAATACTCTTGTTACGCGATGCCCTTGTTCCTAGTAGCTTCTTGTTACATATGTGTACAGTGTACAGTCTATATTTATACAAATCACCAGCATATAAATGCACAGAACCAGCATCTTGTGGCAATGATGTCCGTGCACTCAAGTCATCTCAAGTCGGCCTATAATGTCTATATGTGTGTAGTGTCTAAGTCCTTTTGATGATTTTCCAATGGGGTGCCTGTTGGCACAGCAAGTCAATCTTGAGTCAACTGAAGCAAGAAAGGTCACTGTAAAGGCCCTGACGACACCTGTGCCCCTCAGGCTCTTGTCAAACAAATCCTTAGTCTTACTTGGTTGGATGTGGCAGTGGCAGGCACTAGATACACTTGCCAAATCTTGCCAACATCAAGGGATCAGTGCTCCTGGTGCTGGGCGCGTCATATGCCAAGTAGCCCAGCGGTCCGTTGCAGTTGCGTACATGCCTGCAGTCTGAGTCGGGGCTGTTTCACCGCCAAGAGTTGGAACTCAGACTCCACGAAGACTCCATGACACCGACAGTTTGGTTTTTTTGTAAGGGCTCAACAAATTATATACTAGGGTCTAGGTAGCCTGCTACTAGCGCTCACGCACGATTCATTTGGTTCCTAGATTGTGATTAAAGAAACGGCCCGGCGGCGGCACCTCTTTTCTTCCTGGGACTCTTCGGACTCTTTGGGCTCTTCTCGCTTTCTGGATCCTTCTCATCAGGGCCTTAGCATCACACATGAGTTCCCACACACTGGCTATGCGCAGGCTTTGGGTCGATTCGGTCCGCAATCAAGGATGCAAAATGCACAAGTGTGGAGACTGATCAAATATGACCTAGCGCTCTGTAGTGTCAGCAATGTCACACGCCATGATCGAAAACAAATAAAACAGTATGTTCTTGTTGGCCATGTCACGAAACCAAGGCAAAGGTGCCGTCAGACTGGCGATGGCCTGATGACAAATGACAGTGCAAAAACACAGATTGCAACTTCTGCAAATCTGCAGTCACGCCGTTCTTCTTTAACGGCCTAAGAACTTCAGATGCGGGTGAAAAATATGAGCGACAACGTTGATTTGAAATGAAATCATATAATGGTCGTATTTCCTATATCTCATTCAGTTAAATTTGATATTGGTGTTTGTCTGGAGTTTCGTTTTCGAAGTTCTCTGCGTGCCTCTGATGCCACAGCACTACATTTACAGGGGATCTCGTCTTACAGTTTACCTCTACCTCGTTCAGCGGGGCCACAGCGTTTAAAAGAGAACAGCCAACTCCAAGATCCTCCGAGCTCTTCTTTATGTCGGTAAATCAAAGAATGCGGTTGTTCCTATGTATATTTATGTATAACACATATGTGAAATGCACTCCATGCATTGGTGTGCTTTGCTGTTTTTCAGCTTTGAGTGTCGCCGACTGCTCAAGCAGGGATGGGCGACGCGCGTGTTTGCCTGCCATAGGCTACGACATGTTCAGGCACGACCTTGCCTGACCTGAGAAAGAAGAAAGAGCGCTTCCTGGACCTCGAGTGCCGGGACCTTCGAGCAAGTGTTCACCACCCCACTTCATTTGATCCACTTCAACTACCACGTTAACTACACGTTCCACCTTTCCTACCACTTCAGGTTGCAACCTCCCTACCAGTGTGAATACTTGCCCAATTCACACTGGTAGCGGAGCTACGGCTCCAGCACCTTCACCGTTGAGGTCGACGGTGGCACCTCAACTAGATCCAAGAGCCCTACGTGATCGTCATGGCTACTGGCTCAGGAACCACCTCCGGTTCAGTTGAAGTGACAAAGGACAACTTCATCCCTTTGTTCACAAACAATCCTCGCGACTACCGCGAGTGGAGAGCCAGGATCAGCCTGTATGGCAAAAAGATGACCGTTCAGAACAAGACCAAAGAGGCCACGATCAACCTGCTCACGTCCTTGCAAGGCATTGCATGGCGACAGGTTGAACATAGTGCCGAAAAGCTCGCCGAGGACGCTGAAGGTTTCTCCAAGGTCTTGCAGATCTTGGATGTGGTCTTCAAATACGACGACCGTGTCGAAGCCCCTCGAGCTCTGGAGAACTTTTTCTATGCTGGTGGACGACAACCACAACAAACCCTCCTCAGCTACGCCGCCGACCATAGAGAAAAGAAGAGGGAAGTGGAACGCCACGGCATCAAAGTTCCTGAAAGCATCTCCGGCTGGCTCCTCCTTCGACGAGCAGGTCTCACAGCTGACCAGCGTCACTTGGTGATGTCTCAGTGTGGAAGCAACACTGAGACCATGAAGGTTGAAGAAGTGATGTACGTCCTGTTTGGTCAGGATTACCGGACCAGTGCACCTCGCTGGACAAGTTCTCGTAGCACCACCAACTCCTGGCCTCGCTGCAACAAAAGCTTCAACAGAGCCTACATGGCCGAAGATGAAGAAGAGTTTGAGTATGAAGACGCCTATGCCTATGACGAATACCCTGCGTATGACCCCGCTGATGAAGAACAAGAGTTGTATGAAGAAGGTGAGGAAGCTCACTATGAAGAAGAAGCTCATGGTCAGTGAGATACTGATCCTGCTGATGAAGAATGGGATGATGAGATGGAAACTGCCTACAGCGCCTACTTGGACGCCAGAAAGAAGTTTGCAGAGCTGAAAGCCTCCCGAGGTTTCTGGCCTGTGGTTGCTGTGGCCCCAGAAGGAACTTCATCATCTCCGAGCTCTTCCACGCCGTCCTCTTCAAAAGGAAAAGGGTCATTCCGACCAAAAGGAAAAAGAAAGAGAAAAGGGAAGTCCCCACGAAAGGGATCACCGGCTGCTCGAACACCTGCAGCTGGCTACAACCTCACCTGCCCGAAATGTGGAAAAGAAGGGCATTGGGCATCACAATGTCCAAATGGACCCTCATCCAGCCGGACGTCGACCGCCTCACCACCAAAAAGAGCAAAACAAGATGCTATGTATGCCACTGGATATGTCGCCCATGGCTATGTGGATGCATTGCCCACCTCAGACCTCGTTGGCCTGTTGGATACTGGAGCAAGCAGTGTTGTGATTGGCCACAATGGCCTGATGACCATGTTGACACAGATGCCCTCCTTTGGCATCACCATGGACTCCTTGCGCTTCAGGCCTGCCAACAAGTTGTTCCACTTTGGAGGCGACTCTTCAGGATTGGCATCATGGAGCATCCATCTTCCGACCGTGATCAATGGCAGTCCAGGACGACTTCAAGTGTTCATTGTTGAGGGGAACACTCCCTTCTTGATTGGCCGTCCGATCCTGTCACATTTTGGCGTCAAGATCGACTACAAGACTGACTCCATCTCCATCCAAGATGGACCATGGACACCTGCCTCACGAGGTAACCGAGGTGAGTACACATTGCCCATCTTTGTGGAGAACCACACCTGGGATGCAGCCCACCTCGACTACGACCTCATGACAGATGAAACCGTTGAACAGCTCACCAACTGCCACGAAGGCACTGTGGACCTTGACACCTATCTGTCCACCACGGGACGTTCTGGCCCTGAGCTGGCCCTTGCTGCAGAAGAACCACCTGCAGAAGAAGAAGAAGATCGTTTTGACCCTGCTGGCGTTGACCTGCATTATGAGGAATCCCCTGAGGATGCCTTCAAGCCCCTCACGAACAAGTTGCTCAACAAGTTGAACAACTACCAGCAGTTGAAACAAGCACAACAACGACAGTCAATAGAACAAGCTCTACGAGCATTTGAACGAGGTTCACTTCAGACTTGGGAAGTCTATGCAGGTTCTGGCAACCTCTCAGCCGCATTTCAAGCCTTGGGCCACGAGACCATGAAGTTTGACATCAACAATGGTTGGGACTTCACAAAAAGAGAACACCAAAAGCAGTTCCTGGCCTTGCAAACCAAGTTGTGCCCTCGTTTCGTATGGATTGCAGCACCCTGCAGGAAATGGTCCCCAATGCAGCGTCTCAATGCTCGTGAACCATGGCAGAAAGATCTCCTACAAGCTGAACGTGATGTTGAGGAAAATACCCATCTCCGGTTCAGCCGAAAGGTCTTCAAGAACCAGTTGGATGCAGAGAACCATGCTGGACTGGAACAGCCGAAACATGCGGAATCATGGAAGACCAGCACCTTCACGAGCATGGATGGTTTGTGGAAAAAAACACAAGTTGATCAGTGCGCCCTGGGAACTATGTTGCCCGACTCAGATGGCACCTACCTGCCCGTCAAGAAGCCCACTACATTGGCACTGTCTGATGCATGACTGGCCGATGCACTCAATGCAGTTTGCCCAGGTTGCCATCGGCATCTCCCATTGGAAGGATCCTCTCCAGGCATTGGAAGTCGCACTGCAGCTGCTGCCACGTATCAGCCAGGTATGTGTCAATTCTTGGCTGAGAACATCCACTACTTCTTGACTCGTGAGACCGCCCTCGCCATCTGAGTTGAGCCAAAGAGGAATCCTTGGACGTTTGCTGTCAAAGACTAAGCAGGAGGCTCAACGCACTCTACTTCGACTTCATCGCAATTTGAGCCATCCCACCGATGCAGCACTCATCAAAGCCCTCCGAGAGCACAAGGCCAATGATCTTCTCATTGGAGCCTGTGAAGAGTTCACACGCAAGACCTGTGCTTTCCGACAGAAACCAGTGCAGGCCCCAAAGACTGGCCTTTACAAGGGCACCTACTTCAACCATCGAGTTCAAGCTGACACCATGTGGCTGAAGATCCATCGTGAGAACAAGGTTAGAGCACTTCCGATCCTCATCATGAGCGACACCACCACTCGCCTTGTATCAGCTCGATTGTTGCCTGATGAACAGACCACGAGCTTCCAGTCAGCGCTTGAACGCACATGGATTCGCCATTTTGGTCCCATGGAGATTTTGCAAGTTGATGAACACCGAGGTTGGGCCAGCGACTCCATGAAGGAGTGGTGCGCACAGCATCACATCGAGATTGTCATCTCCCCTGGCCAGGCCCATGAGCGCTTAGCCATCCTTGAACGACGACATCAAGTCATCCGTCGTGCCTTGGAGCTATTCTCCATGACAGCCAAGACTACAGTGACAAGGGTGTGATCACAGCCATTTGCTACTGCATACCACAGATCAACAGAACACCAAATGTTCATGGCTACTCACCCTTGCAGTGGACTTTGGGCTACACTCCAACACTGCCAGGCAATCTGTTTGAGGAGAAGTTGAATCCAACACAGCTGACTCCATCTATGGCCTTCCAGAAGAAGTTGGAGTATCAGCAAATGGCTTCCACCTCAGTTGCAAGAGCAAGCAATGACGACAGATTGCGCCGTGCGCTTCTCAGGAAATACCGTGGCAATGTTCAGCAGTTGCGCATTGGTCAAAGGTGCTTCTACTACAGAGATCTTCCTCAAGGACAATCTGCACTTGGCCCAAAGATCACGTGGCGTGGTCCAGCAACTGTTGTCATGGTTGAAGAAGAAAACAAACTTTATTGGCTTGCTCACGGCACCAGCTTGATCAGAGCAGCGTACATACCAGACCTCTCATGGACGCAGCACCTCTTGATGAAGAGCACCGCACCAATCTGCACGCCGCAAAGGATGCTTTGCAAGCTGTCCGAGGTCGAGGTGTGACCCAATACTTGGATCTGCCCAAATCCAATAAACGCCGCCTTGAAGAGCTGGACACAGAAGAAGAGAAGGAAGAGTTTGACCATGACCACGTGGCTGTTGACTCATCATCCATGATGTTTGGACCTGGACTCCCTGACCATCCACATGTTGAAGCGACCAGAGATCAGCACTTCTGAGTATGATTCCCACACGGCACCAACCACTCAACCATACGTACCACAAGAACCACATGATGAAGCACAACCACCACCTCATGCACCACAACCTCATCTGGATGAGGCAGCCACACCCAAAGCCGGTTCCTCTACCGGGCGCCAAAGAGCGGGAGCTGGTGGCTCACGACCCGCCGCCGGAGAGAACCCGGACCACAGTCCTGACACGTCCAATCCATTTGTGGCCCCAGCCCATCCAGAAAGTTTTCAAGCTCGACGAAGCCGATACGATAGACAAGAAACGCTGTTCTACAAACCAGCATTGGATCCAAAACCCACCACCAACCTCACAAGACATGTTGAGGCACCATATGGGGAGCGACCCTTGAAGGACACCTCAGTCGATGAAGCTCTCTTCCAAGAAGTTGAAATTGAAGTTTTGAAGAAGAGCCACTTGCCACTGGGTTGGACCACCGACGAAACTGGTCATATGCTTCTGGGATCTATGCAAGATGAATGGAAACTTGAAGGCAATCATCTGGTGAGATACCACTACATGCCGCGGAACAGCAAGTTCACACCAGAAGCTGATGACTGCCCGATCCCATTGGACCACTTGAGCAAGCACCAAAAGTCCTACGACGGAAACCGCCGTCGCTTTGACAAGTGGAAAAACAAAGAGAGTTCAGAAACAAGTGTTTGGACTGGCTACACCCGCTTCAAGATCGAGCCCCGCAATCGACGACAGGCCACTGAACAATTCTATGTTGCAAGTGAAGGGCAAGCCAGCTATGTTTCCAAGAAGAAGAAAGATGACGGAAGCATCAGCGAACGCCATCTGACCCTGGCTGACCGTTTGACCTTCATCAAAGCAAAACAGAAAGAATTACAGAGTTTCTTTGACAATCAGGTATGGGAATTTGCTTCGGAAGATTCTGCACCGCCCGGTCGCATCATGACAGCACGCTTCCTCCTCCACTGGAAGAAAAACCCAGATGGAACCCGCCGAGCAAAGGCGAGACTTGTCACACAAGGTTTTCGAGATCCCGATGCACTAGCAGGGACCCTGAATACCAACAGCCCCACCTTGACAAGGCTGTCCCGAAGCTTCATCCTGTCCATCTCCCAGATGCTGAACTACACCCTCTATACAGGTGACATCTCCACGGCTTTCCTTCAAGGCCGACCACACGGTCCTGGGCGCACCTTGTGGATTAAGTTGCCAAGGGGTGCCAAATCCTTACTTGGCCTGAAGCCCGAAGACCGCACCGTCATGAAGCTCAACAAAAGCATGTACGGCCTAGTGGATGCACCAAGAAATTGGTACACAGAAGCTGTAAGCTCTGGACGCCTTTTTGTTTTTGGTCTACGACATGAATGCCCCCAGCCAATTCGAACCAACTCTCCAAGGTTCACTTGTTGGACTGTTTGGAATACATGTAGATGATGTCATTGGCTGTGGCGACCTTCAATCGCCGACCTTTCAACTGGTGAAGGAACAATTGCACAAGGCCTTCTCCTTCCGACTTTGGGAAGAAGCTCAACCAGGTGCGAGTGTTGAATACTGTGGATGCAAAGTTGAAGTGCAAGAGGACAAGGTTCAATTGCACCAAAGCCACTACATCCAACGCCTGAAGCCGATCACCATCCCTGAGGAAAGAAAGAAACAAACAGCCAGAGGCCAAATTGAATCCAAAGGAGCTGACAATGCTGCGAGGTCTCCTTGGAGCTCTTCAATGGCCGAGTACTCAGACAGCACCATATACGCAGTGTGTTGGGAGGAGATCCTCGGAAAGTTGCATTCCTAGGATACTCAGATGCTGCCTTTGCCTCCAGAAACGACTTGAGCAGCCAAGGAGGATATCTGATCCTCTTGACCAAGGCTGATGCGCTGAGTGGCCAAACTGGCCAATACAACATGATTGATTGGCGATCATGGAAGCTGCCCAGGATTGCAAGATCCTCACTCGCAGCTGAGTCTCAAGCAGCTGGAGAATGTGCAGACGCTCTGCTGTATGTGTCTACGTTTTGGAAGCTAATTTGGATTCCAAATTTGCCACTGGATGCACCAAGCACTGCCACCCTTCCAGTAGCACCAGCCATGATCATCGATGCGAAGGCCCTATACGATTCGCTGGTGAAAGATGAAGTTCACGCCTCACATGGCACCGACAAGAGGACAGCAATAGAGACACTTGTTTGTCAGGACAAACTGAAGGCATGCCATGCCGCTGTACGTTGGGTATCCTCCGAGCTTCAATATGCCGACTCCATGACGAAGACAGATAGCTCCCAGCTTTTAGCTGATCGCTTGAAGACCCATCTACTGAAGATCACATCGGATGACTCCTTTCAGGCAGCCAAAAAGAAAGACTTCAAGACCAGGCGCAAGAACACAGAGATGTTCGCCCTGAAGAGACCAAGCAGGGCAATGCAAGCGTTGTTTGCTTTTTCCACATTCACCACAACCCTGGCCAACTCCACGAACAATGACACCTCCTTCACCAACCTGAGCATCGAGAGTGAGTTTTTGTGTGTTGTTTTCTTCACCGCCCTAATTGCAATTTTCCTGCAATGGCTGTTTTGGAAAACGATGTCCCTGATGCCTGGGACTAGACGACAGCTACCACCAAGTGAGCCACCTTCACGACCAGGTATGCTGCAAGAGCAAGAAAGCAACGAGACTGACTCCAACCTCACTGGCTCCCACACCGGCAACACCACAGAAGATGCTGCCACCAACAGCGAGACAGAATTCGAAGAGGCACCTGACCTCCAACGACGAGTTCAAGAAATCAACCGACAGCTCACCACCCTCCATGTAGAGAATAGAAAGCTGCAAGAAGATCATCGAGCGCTCACCTCCGAAATGGAACTCATCAACCAGGAGCGTCAACAACTGATGCAGGAACTTGATGAAGTGAAAGCTCGATACCAGCTCCTCCATGATGACAGAGAGCAGCTCATCACGACCTACAATGAGGTAGTGGAAGACCGCAGCAAGCTCATTGAGACCTACAACCAAGTTAAAGCTGCAGCTGAGCGATTGGACCGCATCAACGCCACTCAGAAATATCAGAGAGACTGGCGACGCGCGTGTTTGCCTGCCATAGGCTACGACATGTTCAGGCACGACCTTGCCTGACCTGAGAAAGAAGAAAGAGCGCTTCCTGGACCTCGAGTGCCGGGACCTTCGAGCAAGTGTTCACCACCCCACTTCATTTGATCCACTTCAACTACCACGTTAACTACACGTTCCACCTTTCCTACCACTTCAGGTTGCAACCTCCCTACCAGTGTGAATACTTGCCCAATTCACACATAGATATGCGAAAGTGCTGAGTAGGCCGCAGGAGTAGTAGAGGGTGAATGGAACCACAGGGTCAAGGAACCGGAAGCGGAGGATCGTTGCTTATGAGAACTCATACTCTTTGCGGGCCATGCGACTACCCGAGAGTTCCCACTCCAAAGCATGGGCTTGTTTCGAGGGTGAAGCCTACCAACCCACGACGAGTATGCTCACGGGACAGGCCAGCCTGAGAGTTGCGTTGCTTCACCTCGCGATCTGCACCCCACGTACTCCTGGTTCAGGCTGAATCGCGCTGAGCAAACAGACTCTGCGGCACTGATGCCACACAATTGGAAGAGTTCAACGCCTCTTTGGTCAGAGTGAATGCCATTGTTGGCTGATCAAAAGTGCAATAAAGATGCCTAAAACGAAAGTCAGAGTGTCTCCTGCCCTGCGACAAACGAGTTGATGAGATCTCAATATTCTGAAGACGCTGACGCCCTTGGCGGAGACTTGCGCTCATGATCTAACTTTAATAATCGGCCCGGCCCTTTCAAAAAATTGGCACCGTGCAGCATAGGCTGCGCGGGTGCTTGCAGGTTTTGGGGTGCTCTGTAGGCTTTGGGCCCGCTCATATGTACTGTATGCAACATGGGCACAATGAGCAAGCTCGAGGCGGGCTCTTTTTGAAGCTCCCCGATGCTCAACCGCTCATTTCGCTTCATGCAGTCCAAGTTTCGCTGCTCCTCGAAATGTGCCACCTGCGCTTCTTTGACTGACTCCGTATTGCCAGAGAGCAACGGATCCAGACTTGCCTAAGTACAACAATCTATCACTCCGCATAGAGTCATAGAGGCACTAACACAACCAAGTTTCCAATGCGGGTAGCTCCAACACATTCTTGAAGTTGCGGCCGTCTCTCCTCAGACCCATTGGGAATGATCAGCCCTTTGGCTTGTTCGATGTACATCCCAAACAGCTCCACAGACTTCAGTCAAGGTGCAGTCTGCGCTTGCGTAACCTTGGAAAGCAGAAACAAACCGCCGGTTTATTTACGCAGCACCTCATCGGTCCTAAAATTCTACACCCCAAAGTCCAGGATGTGCAAAACAATAATGGTTGGTGCGCGCAAGAAAGCTCGAGGACACGGAGTGCGCTTACGTCTGCCATCTGGCAAGGTCTCAACACCCAAACCTCCAGGTACGAGTAGAAATTACAATCCCCCTTGGACAGTGTGACAGTGTGGGGCTCAGAAGTGACGCTGCTATGATCACAATCGATTCTTGTCTGTGGCCTCAGTTCGCTTGACCCGAAAACTTTCTATGCACCACGTCTGAAATCGGAGACTTGTACCACAATACTCCCGGGGGCAAAGCACTTGTTGCTCAGGAACCTTATTCTGGAAATCCTCTCTCTCCCTCTCTCTCCGAAGTCCTAGTCAAACATCCAACTGAGGCAGGTACCCGTTAGAGTTGGCAATTCTGGCAATTCTCTTGGCTGCATCTGCTTGAGTGGCTGCTAGCAACCTCGGATAAAACTCTCGAAACAATTTGAGCGAACAGGAAGAAAGCTGCCCGCTTAGCCTGCTTAGATGCACTGTACCGTGCTCTATGCAGATACTGCAGCGACAAACTGCAAAGCATTTAAGCCTATCACTACTACAGTATATATAAATATAATTGTGTCTTCATGAGGATCCATGAGGGCAGACCATGGTGCCTTGCCCACTGTCTCTCTCTAGCTGTAGTCCAAGTCACGCATAGCTGGTTGTAGCCACCTGCTCAGCCAGGTATGTGCCGACCTGGTGCAAGTTCATCAACAAGCTACAACACCTGGTCGTTTAAACGCTGGACTAGCAGTTCACCTTCACGAAACTGTGACCACACCCACGGGAACACTTCCTTCTCTCTGGCAGGCAGTTGGGAACACTCTGAGGAACGACACAAAATCATGGTTTTAAGGCCCGGGGAGGGGGGCAGGCCGGTAGAAGAGGGAGGTAGCTAGCTAGGTAGCTAGTAGAAGCTAGGGAGTCGCTAGTAGCTAACAAAAAGCCACTAGAGACACACGCTTCTTCAAGGAAGCTCCCCCCGCCGCCCTAATCCATTTGGTTCCTAGATGTTTACGGAAACTTAAGTTCCCCCCTACTACTTAATTAAGTAGGTTGCATTGAAGAGTCATCACGTCCAATCTTTGAGTTTAGGCACGACCAAGCCATCACTCATCACCCCACATGATGCGAACTCATCAGCTTTGGGTGCACTATATATATATATACAGCAGATGTACAGTATTATACATGTACAAATAAAACTCTTGCCAAATGATGGTCCAGATTTGAGACTTGCGACTAATGAACCAATCATCTCTGAACAGTTGATTGGAAAACGTGTATAAACTATAAACATGGTACAAGCAATGGCATGGGTCAAGCAAACGTTTCCTGCATCCAATAATTAATTGCTTGGGCACCAAAACAGGCTGCAAGTATCAAGCAAATGTCATGGACAGAAAAAGCCCAAACAGCATCCAAGTCTCGTCGCTTTGTAATTCGCGTCGGTGACGGTCGGCTTTGTGGCGTGTTTCTTGGCATCCTCTTTCAAGTCACGCTCACTGTGAAAAAGTGGTGGAAAATGGGTGGTTGAAATCAAATAAAAACACAAAACACCACGGATCCAAGAACGTCTCACGTCTCTGAGAAACATTGGAGCCAGCACGCACACTGACACCCTCCCGCACATGTTTTTACTCGATGTTTGATGCAACGTCGCAGGGGTCTGCCACGGGGCATGAAAGCAGGCGTAAAGTGCTGTTGCGTCACCAACCATGAACCGGCAACCCGGTTCGGCAACCTGGTTTTCAGCGTTTGGGTGCTCATGTTCATGACAACTCATCCCTGAAAGTCAACGTGCAACTAGGATTTGCTTCTGCCAACACCTATATAACTGCCCCTTAGATTTGCATTGCTTGGCAATGGCAATTTGTGCAATATAACAGCCGCCTGTGATAGAGGGTGCGTTTCAGTTACTATCTATTTTTGCCAGCCTGGGCAAGTCTAATGCTGAAGCAAAGGCTGTTCTGAGTCGAGTGAGCACTCCCAACATTAGAGGGAGTTGTCCACGTCTTGAATGTTGGCATCTACAAACAACACTTTGGCCTTCTCAATTCCATTCCAACGAGACAAGCAAAACGTCCACAAAACGATCTAATTCGGTGCCGCCAAGTCTTGTTCCTGACTGCTGGGTCAATGACTTGGTCAGTCTTTGGCATGGTGCTTTCCGTTTCATTGATTTTCACCCTTGCCCCATGATTCTTGAAAAAGATTCAGTCATTGTTTTCACAACATTGTCATCAGATGGCTACATGATTCAATTGGACGGGGTGGAGCAGGTGGAGCGACCCCTTCACAGTGGCAGCTTTAGTTCAACAGTATGTAGATCTGGACTCCCAGAGAGACAAAAATCACAAAAGCAAATGAGTGCGAACGAATGAGCTCTGGTCTGAAGCTCTAAGTACCTTGTTTGGGCTATACTCCAAGTCTTATGGCATGTGAGTCATATTAGTCTTGCGAAACATGCATGGCATTGCTTATTGAATGCATCATAACAATAAGTCACATACAAGTAACAAAGCGGGACCCCAAAACACGAAACAGGCGGTGAGGGGCTTCACAACATTGTCGTTGGTTTCATAACCTTGCCGTCGGTTCATAACATTGCCATTCCTTTCAGTGTTGCAGACTTGCAGACTTCCTTGCCTCTCCCCAAAAAATGATTGTATACACATGTCATCTTTCAACAACACAGGGCTGCCATTAGAGCGCCCCACCTTGTCTTTATGCCTCGTTTTGAGGAGTTTAATACTAGGCTTGACTTTTTTTGCTCAAAAAGTAGTAAGCTTGAATTGCGAGGCTGCTCCCCCATTGGCGAGGTACGCTGATGTTCGGCGGGTAGTGAGCGTTTGGAACATCAGTCGGCCCGCACAAAGGACACTTGTTACTGGCTGAACCAATTCCAATGTCAACCTAAACCCTTTTTACTTCTGGCATTGGTGGATAACTGAAACAAGTTTTGCGTGGAGGTTGCACAGTGGACGGTGAAAAATACATATATATATATATATATATGTGCGTGTGTGTATATGTGTATATGTGTATAAACTCTGCGCCCTGCACCACTTGGAAGCATGAGCGACATCTAGGATGAATACCTGGCATATTTGAAGTTTGAAGGTGGCATGCTTGCTTCAATGAGGCACTTTTCGATTCTCAAAGGCCCCAATGGTGAATCGGGCTGCAAGGCACATCCCTGGCACAACCAGTTCGGGGCCCATTTGGTCAACCAAAGGACTCAGAAGTTAGCTTTCACCGGTCCAAAGCCTTCAAAAACTAAAAGGAAACCACCTCCTTCACCTGGTCTGCTGAATAGAGACATGGGCCAAGGATCACTGAAACAAGACCGTGATTCCATCTTGGAAATGCCACGTTGTTATCGGACTGATGTCTTGCTTGTTCGCCGCTTGGAGAGGAAGAGCAAAGGATGCAGTGCAAAGCCGCCATGTTGTGGCGGAAATTCCGGCATTGGTACAGGCAAGGTGGTTGGAATCATAGCCACGGATGCACACAAAGGGGCGAATGTCCAAAATCAGCATTGAGGCATCTCATGGCATTGTGACAATTGTGATTAGCAGTTCTGAGGGGGAATTTGATCTACGAAGTTGTAAACTCCATGGGGGATGCTTCATACAACCCCATTAAATTATCAACACAAATCTGCAAATCATCATTCCACCCACCTGCCATGTGGCTGCCCCAGGGACACCAAATGCGACCTTTGGTTTTGCAGAGTTCCCACCATTTCGACGTTTCAGGAAAGAATTGACTACTACAGTTGACAGTGGTCAGGAATTCCAGGCAAAAAAAAAAGCATTAGAAATTAGAATCATTAGAGTTTATGAAGACATGGCCTGTTGGTTTACCGTATTTCCAAGGGCAAAACCCTCATTGTAAACAGAAAAATGCCCCAACCCGTAACTTTGAGAATTTTCAGGCTTCTCTGAACCAGTCCCCCACCTCGGGGCGCTTCGGCAAGAATGCTGCAGCAATCGCTTCGGTCCGCAGGCGAAACGCCGGCACTGCCTACGTGACACGATGCCAAGCGGCATCTCTACTCCAGCATGAACTGTTCGTGCATCGCCTCAGTACCAAAACACTGTGAGAGAAGCGGTGCGCAGCATTGCGCTGGTAGTAGCGTCCTTGCTCCTGGTAGCAATGCCCTTTGTTCCTAGTAGCTTCTTGTTACTGGTAGTACGGCCAGG